TTGATCTTTATGCCTAGGTTTGCGCAGTACTGGTCACCATCTAGCATTGATCTTCATGCCTAGGTTTGCGCAGTACTGGTTATGTCGTCTTAAGAGCCTAAATATCATTCCTCATCTGATGTCAAGTTGTCAACTTAGGGCATTTCTGTCAGGCTAATAGCTTTGCAATCACACAGGACTAATATTAAAGAAACTAGCTATAGGGTATTGAATGTCCAAGTCGAAATTATAATGAAGGTGTCGGGCCCATGTACAACTGCTGGCTCGCTCAAATGAGCCTCAAAATGTCCTCCATACTTCCCAAGCCATTCTGCTTCGAGGCAGCAGTGCCAGTGGTATAAGACGCACTGCTGTAAGCCTCCGGAACAATGATGTCAATCATGAATGGATTTTGGATGACCGGCCTCTGGTAGTGATGGGTGTCGAGTTCGATGGTATGGTTGATATATCTAAGGCTAGGTCAGCTTGATGTGCAGCCAGACAGTCAGACAAACATACGCAGTCCAGCCTGGTGTCCCCCAAGAATCTTCCCACTGCTTCTGTCGCGCCTCAAATCACATTTCAACTTTGGACCAGAAGTCCTTGCCTTTGGTGGTGCACCCGCCTTGGCCGCACTTGCGCTTCTTCTTCAGTGGTTCTCCGATAGGAGGGTCTTCAGCATCTTCTGCACTCAGTGATGTGAGACTCTCATCTTTGTCCTCTGCCCAGTCAAGCAAATAAGGGTTTTCATATGCAAAATGACGCTGAAATTTGAAACAGTGAGAAAATTTGGCGGTCATACAGTGGAGAAAGACCGTACTAAGATAGCCAAACAGGCGCGGGTTGGATGTCCAAGGTCTGAGTTCACGCCTGCCCAATGGAAACGATTCAAACAGTCATAAATAAAGTCGGATAGCGTGCTTGTGTCATCACCAATGACACTGTCATGTAGCTGCAACAAGGCAATCAGTTGAGAACCGAAACAAATATCAACCACTTGTGCACACCAACTCGCGAAATGAATTATGGATGCTGTTACAAGTAACATCGGCTACATGGCCCCCCTATCATTTTTCCCTTCGTCCTCGCCCTCATATGCCTCCGGCTCGTACTTCTCTACCGACTATCCGTTGACCGGATCCTCGGGACCGTTCCTGTCCCTCATCCCCCTCCTATCGCACCAACGTGCGCATGTGCCTTCGGGCTATGACTCATTCTGACTCGTGCCACCAATGTGGCTTTCCTTATCTTGTCTTATCTTTCCTCTGACTCATGCGTGCTGCGCATTGTATCATTTACCGTTGGCTCGTTCCAACGTTTCTCGGTCTCATTCTGCATTCGACCTCACATCACTAATTAGGCTCTGCTACCAGTGTACCTATACCCTTTCCGTTTCCCCCTTGCCCTTACCCACAGTACGGTAGCCTTGCCCTTAACCCTTTCCACTTAGTATAAGTAGTCGGTCACTCTGTACTAGATTCCCTAACTTGAATCTACTCAATCTTCCCTCGAACATACTTCCCTCTGAAGCCCCCTCAGCTTCAGTCTCTAGTATCTTTTCTTAGGTGCTCATCGCGCCTAAGTCTACCTCGATCGACTACTCATCGTTCGGACAAGACTGTCCTTACTTTGAGAACGTCAGTGACTTTGAAGACATCTGTCTTAGAAGTCACGTGACACGTGCGTCTCTGATATCTGCCGACTCGACGTCACCAGTCTCAGTCGCTACACCGGACCCTTCCGGTTACGTCACGAACGTTAGCGGACGACGCCCCTCTTAGGGCTCCGCATAACAGATCTATTTGAGTGCGTAACAGATGCTAGAACACTGACATTTGGTATAGATCATCAGGAAATGTTTCCTAGCTGGGTTTCCATAGATGTTTGTGAGTTTGAAGGCCTCACAATCTTTATGTAAATGATTCTGTGGGATTAGAAAATAAGCATGCAGCGCTATCTAATAACTCACTGGCAGGACTTACCGCAGCATCAAAATGAAGTGTCATGAATGTGATCCTGTTAGGATCAAAGATAAGATCACCTGCCACAATGTGTATGTTCGTCTTTATGCTTCAGATATTTGATAGATGATGGTCCAAGAAGATTACTTACTCGTTGCTCAGGACTAAGTGAAAATGTGGTTTCGAGACGTATTTGCAAATCTGCGAGAAGGTGTTGTGTTGATTGGTGAGAGGCAGCAATTATGTGCTGTTCCTTGAGAATGCAGAATATACTGCCAAGGAGATAAGTTCTAGTCACAAGGTCAGATTTGCTCAGTCCATGACTGAGCTGCAATGCAAAAAATGTTAGCATGTGGATAAAAAATCAAATTATTGATGTACCTTAGCAAAACCATGTAGGTTTTTCCGCAAGTCCTGTTCTGCATCACCAAGGCCAAATTGGTTGGCGAGTGCATCTACAAAGAGGGCAGACAATTCATTTGCAAATAGATTTGGGTCAATTTGTGGTTGATGTGAACTTGAAGGTGGGGATCCAGGAGTGCGTAGGTAGGCAGAAGGGCTCAGCAGCATGCTCAAAGGACTTCCTGGCTGGGAATAATCGAGTGGACCAGATAAATGGAAAAGTGATAATGCCCGTGGCTGAGAACCGGTAGGCAGAGTAGAGAAGTCGAAGGACATATTTGTAGACTGGGATGAGTGACAGTGAAAATGAATGACGGACTCAAAGGCGAGTCACTGGAAAGTGCTCTACTAATGAAATCAGATGCTCATTGACACATTTATATAAAAACTCAGCTTACATTAGTGGGTTTCATGCGGTATTAATGATGGCCTCAAGGCATATTTTTGGTTTCATTGTTGTAATAAGGATCATGTTTGGTGGTAGTCAGCGCTGCAGCAAGGATGGCCTCAAGGTATAATTTCGGTTTTGTTGTCATAATAAGAATGTTTGGTGGTAGTCGGCACTGCAGCAAGGATGGCCTGAAGGTATAATTTCAGTTTTGTTGTCATAATAGAAAGGATGTTTGGTGGTAGTCGGCGCTGCAGCAAGGATGGCCTGAAGGTATATTGTTGTTGTAATAGTAAGGATGTTTGGTGGTAGTCAGCGCTGCAGCAAGGATGGCATCGAGGTATAATTTCAATTTCATTGTTGTAATAAGGATCATGTTGGATGGTCATATTAGTGAGCCCTGCAACCAAACAGTGACACCGCATATTAGCAACAAGTATTGGTAATCAACTAAGAGTGGTGCTTACAGCAGATGATATTAATATGTAGAAGGAGATTGTATGATCAAGAATACTATGCACCTGGGTACTGGGTCATACTTGTAAGTGCAGCAGATGATATGTAGAAGCGAGAACCCGCTCCTGGTCACTGAACTTGTAATACAGACCAGTGTTGCTGTAGTGATCTATTAACTTGTCGGCCTTGAGCATGTGGTCCATGTGCTGCCACTATAATAGATGTCGTGGAAGCTCCACTATTAGTGGTGTCATTGCGTGTCTGAATCTCCCTCACAGCACCCTCAAGGATTGCGAGGTTTATATCTTGTGGCTGAATAGGTACCTGAAGGCCCTGCATGTGCTTTGTGTCTCACATCCGTGCAGTGTTGAGAACAAGGTCATCAGGGTCCCCAATGTGATGTATCACAGCCTTAGCTTTTGATGTCTTCACCCATTCTTCATAAACAAATTCAACATCGGAAGCCAAGCTCGTGCATTTGTGTACTCAGCATTGATGCTGCAGATTGGCTGCACATAAAATTTTCTTTCATAGTAGAAACAGAAATTCAGTGACTGATGACTTGTACAGATGAACCATCAACCTCGACAGGATAGACCAAAAAACCACCATGTGCCCTGACTGCGGGCATAGAGTAGGATGCTGCCGGTTTGCCAACACTTCCGCATTCCAGAAGAATCGCATCTGGATGCAGAAGGTTATTTGCATCTGAGCCATGGCGCTGAATAATTTCTCAAATACACGCTACAATTGGAGACTGCTCTGCTGTGCCATCTGCTACAAGAACCCAATCTCCTATCTTACAAACATCCCCATTGAAAAGCACCATAGACTTGCAAGTACGGAAATTATGTCCTTTGAGAGTGTTGTTTGAGAGTGATCGAAGTACATTCGGAAAGCATTTCCCCGTCTCGGTAGTCAAGTACAGTTGGAGTGGTAGGTTGTTACGAAGGCACTGACCTAAAGATACTGACCCTTAGTATTGTATTTCTCAAAGTTTGAACTCATGTAAAATTGAACTTTACCGTATTTTTTAGTGTCAGAATGTGTGTCAAGTCCAAGGTAGTCAGTAATGATATTTGGCCGTTGAACAAGTGACAATGGACCCTTTCCAACAACTTTGACGTTTATGGCATCTGGCAGCTTGTCTGATGAGGGATTAGAGGCTTGGATGAGATTGGGAGAATCAGAGTGAATGTCATTTGTATTACTATCATGCATGAGTATTTGTGCCTCTGAGAGAATATGACGAATCCAACTTCCATGGGCAAAAGAACGTGCGATATCCCGAGAAGGAGCATGGTGGTTTGAATGGATACTTTTTGCACGGATGACAGCATTGAAGGACTCAAATGCCTCTGTCGCAAACAAAGCAGCTGGCCCAAATCATTGAGTGTGGTCAACGACATGTAATAGAATATGAAATTTAGGCTTATTGAACCATCGGGGAGTCCACCTGGCGGTGCACGCAAGAAAGTTATTGATTGATGTTGTAAGATTGCGCTGAGATGATAATAATGATCAGATAATGTGAATATCGGCAAATAAGACTGAAAAGTATGCTACATACTAAATGTTCCATGGAGTCTTCAATTTCAGGCTGCCAGATGAGTGGTATTAGGTTTGATAACGCAACCCAAGTATCATAGCATTCTGTGGGTACCAAGTCATGAGGCACAAATGGTGCAACTTGTGCAATAGCACAAAAATCACGACCAACAAGAGACCCTGCATATTGAACAAGGGTGTGACCAGCAAGATGGCTGAGTCCAAGACCTGAGACATCAACAGATGATAGGTGAGTTTCTAAAAGTTCACGCTTCAATTTGTCTTTTCCGATTCTCACAGAGACAATGTCGCGCCAAAGGTATTTGACAAAGCAGCTCTGGGTCAAGTTCCTCAAGCCAACATGTAGCTTGTCGAGCTTTGTTCAGTTCCACACCAGTATCTTCAGGGTAGAAGTGTAACAGTGGCCAAACGTGAGGATTCATCATTTCCTTCAAACACAACTAAGTATAAAATAATGATTACATTTCAGTAATGCACACACCTGCCAAATAATGTCAGGCAGCGAGTTAACATAGTACCTATACCCAAGAGCACCTTCATAAGGGATTGAATGGATACTGCATAATCGTTGAATAGCATCTTTGATAAGTTTGACAGACTTCACCAAAGGTACATCGACTACATTGTTGACCTGAAGTAGCCAGAGTAAAATATCAATCTGTCATTCTGAAAAAACAGAGCATGGAAGGTGCATGAGAATATCAAGTGTGCACATCTGACAGAACACCATTGGATCAACAACAGTTGGCAGGTTGATGAACGACCTTATAATCTTGTCGGGCCATAGAAACCATTCCTCATTCACGATTTGATGTTGAAAACACTTTCTATCACTGCCAGTTCCAATAGCAGCATCACCAGCCTGGTTGTCATTAAGGAATGACGTGGGTATACCCATGGGTATCTGTGGTGATACCCCCACCCACACCCACACTGGTGGGTGTGGGTTTATTCGTGGGTACCAGGGATGGCTACCCACATCCACACCCATAGAGGGTATACCCATGGATACGACATGAATGATTGGTACTACACACTTAGATATCTTAATGAATGTTGTAGTAATACTGGAGACAAATATATTGCTAGTCTCACCTTGTTAATTGGCAGTCATTTGAGAGAGATAAAGCTAAATAAAAACCCAACACCAGTAAGTCTCTGAAAAATGCAAAAATAAAAGTTGACATTATCCTTGTAATACTAGTTGAGACAAGTCTGTTGTGAGTCTTATTTTGTTAATCAGTAGTAATTTGAGCAAAATAAAAATACATATTGATGAGTTTAGCCAAACACAAGTTGTTATTATCATTATGTATCTTAATGAAAATTGTAGTGCTATTTAAGGTGAGTCTATGGCTAGTTTATCTTATCAATTAGTTGACATATCAGTAACATATGGATTGAACACTACTGAACCAAAGTTCAAAGTTGTGTTTCTATAGTCTACATGTAACATGATAAATGGAATCAACATAGATAACAAAGATAGTATTATTGAAAATGAAGTTGTTGGCTATTCAACCTAGGCATACCATTCACTGAGACCACTACTAGCATATTTGACAAAGTTGAATCACATATCACAGTGCAAAGATAATTTTTTTGCCTACATACCCACCATGTGGGTGTGGGTAGGGGTGTGGGTATCCTAAGTGCCTACCCCCACCCATACCCCTGGGTACCCACATCCACAACCCACAGTGGGTGCCGGATACCCATGACATTGCCTAGCTGTCATCTGCTCAAAATGTCAAAGTGAGCTGCATCCTGTGTAGTTAGAGTAACATACCATCGTGCCATGTCTGCCCCAGTAAAAGCTTCTTCATCTTCTGATATTTCAGGCTCCCTGATCATCTGAGAGGTCACCGTCATCTAAAAAGTCTCTTAAACCTTACACGATCATTGCCTTTGTGACCGAGTAGTCACCAATGTAGTCTGCTGGATCACCCAGCTCAAAACCAGGAGTGCTAGCCATGTCATTGAGAAGACAATGTAGCTCAATGATGGAGTTAGATTGAGCTTCAGGTACAATTGAACCATTCCCACAATGCTGCTGTCCTCTCGAATGATATTTGACTGCATCTTGATGTGACCAGGTCCTCTCATGCTTCTGCACTACTCGCCGATCATGGGGCCTATTGTCCTGACAAAGGTTGCAGACCCATTTGTTCGCCTTAGCAGGTGTCCAAACTAGCAAAAATTAGATCCTAGCTATTAGTTGTGAGCTTATCTAGATCACTGTGTACCATCAAGGTGGGATAATTCTCCATCAGGCATAGTAGGTTGAGCAATGGGCCTGTTGATGAAGCGATTATTACACTGAGGATAAGCAGAACAACTGTGCAAGGATATCTGTAAGACACCCTACATATAAAGTACTTACAAGGCAGAACTGTAGAACAATATTGTTTCCAGTATGTGCTGCTTTCGGCCATAGTGTGGTGACTGAATGAGGCTGTTGATCCAATGATTATTGTGCTGAGAGTGTATGGAGAGACTGCCGAAGGATAACTCAAGGATGCCCTCCGCAGATAGTGCCTATGGGGTGCGGCCCTTGTTTGGTGTTGTTCCCAGGATAAATCGCTTATGGCTGATGGACCAAACAGTTTGAACCTGAGGTTAAACTCGCAATGAGCCTGAGGCCTATACTCGGCGGCTGCCGGACAACTCAACATTGGCACTTCATTTTTGTTTATGCTTATCTGACGGATCTTGTCCTAATTCAGTACTCAGTCTTTATTCAAAACGGAATGGTGCGCAAAATTTATATATATACTGAGCGTGAAAAGGACCAGTTTAACCACAGGTTCAACTAACTTCTTACTGTGTAGGTATGCATGGTAACCATTACATACTTACCAGTTTCGCAAAATGACACATTATGTGTTCAACATTCTCCATCTCCAGCACTACAGCCTAGGCCTGATAGGTGGGCCCCTCCTACACATTTGTAGGTTCTTACACTGAGAGAAGTTCAGGTCTAGCTTATACTATATACCAAGTTGATTTAAGTTATGGTAAGAAATTTCATGTTTTTCCTAATAGCCAAGCAGGCAGCATGGGCATCAAAGAAATACCATGGTCATTGAGTGTTGCCTGAAACAATAATGAGAGATTCGATTGAGCCTCATGGAGGCAGGTTTACTAGGTTCGCAAATAGATGGAAGCATTACATTTACAAATCGAAATGTAGCATCACAAAATGTTACAATAATGTCACGTCATGTGATTCATTGTATTTGATTGCATTTGATTCGGAGGTCTAAGTACTATTAAGTTATGTAGACCTGAACTTCTCTCGGTGTAAGAACCTACAAACGTGTAGGAGGGGCCCACCTATCAGGCCTAGGCTGTAGTGCCGGAGATGGAGAATGTTGAACGCATAATGTGTCATTTTGCGAAACTGGTAAGTATGTAATGGTTACCGTGCATACCTATCATATGAGGTTGCTAACTCTGCGCATTACGTTCATTCAGGTGCCGGGTAATGCAGCCCGCCGGAATGGCTAGCTTGCCATGATGTCAAGTTCGTCGTACCTTGCACCGGACCTGAACTCTCACTCGGTCCGACGGTTTTTCTTTATACCCACCCACCACCCCCTTTCAATCGAGACAACCCTATATAATGTACAGTGTTCAAACGACTCACTTCAATTCAATCACAACCAACAAATCATCACTCCTATTGAACACACAATCATGGTTTTCTATGCATATGTAAAACAGGTACGTCTGAGATTCAATTCATTCCTCAACGTGTGCAATGTCGTGCTAAATTGCCATTCAGGTCACAGACAACTCGACCTATCGATATGTGATCATCTTCGCTAGCCGCGCAGTTGCCGATGAGTGGTGGCGTGCCGTGTCCACTTCCACTGTCTCTAGCTTCGTGAACAGTGTTCAGCGTGTCAATGCCCAGTTCTACACCCATAACGTGAACCTGGCCAATGCCGCTAACTCCCTCACCACGAATGGGGTTGCGACCCAATTCCTTGGCAAGGTGTTTTTCACTTTGCTGAACGACTTGGGTGGTCGCGGGTCGAGCATTATCCCCCCGCTTGATCACTTTGCAGATCATATTAGCGGGAACTCGTGAGTTAGTTCCTTGCAGGACGTTTTACATTTTGCTGATAGCAGCCCTACCAAGTTTCTTCATCCGTTCTAAGGTCGCTCCTCACGACTATTGGTACTTTCCCAAATATAATGCGACGAACGCGGTCTATGTGTCGCGCACTGAACGCACTCGCTTCACCATTAGTCGCACCGACAGTGGTACTGCAGGGACCGTCATAATTGGCTCTGACAAGATCGCCATCACATTGACCACTGCCAATTTGTCCATTAATGTCGACACTGTCACTGGTCAAGTAATTCTTTCACCTGCCCCTCAGTCGGGTTTGACGTTTAGTGCCCTTTTGGGCAACTTCACCGTGGGGCCTTCCTTGATGAAGAGTGGTGAGAGCGTGAAGGAGCTCCTCTACACAGAACATGGGGAAGAGTGGGAACTCGCTTGAATTGTTATCATTTGACACAAAGTTGCCTTGTACTAGTACTACTATAGTCTGCCCTAGAGAGGACGAAGGAAGGCATCTGTTCCTGTACTATTATAACACTAGGAAGCGATTGTATTTTTTGTTGAACGCCTGCAACCACGTGTACCACTACATGACTTGGAGATGTACGTGATGTTTGCATTGCATAAAAACCGTTTGATCACGGGTACCGTACGAGATCGCGTTTGATAATGGCATAAAATGGATTAAGTATAAAGCGGCTTACCATCCCGCAACTTGAAGTCAGGCGGCCATCAAAAGACCATCAGTACTAGTTATTTTCTTTGAGCTTTGACTAGCACAAAAACCATAAAAAATGCTCATACAATATGACCTGAAGCATAGTGAGGAACAACTATATCCACGAAAAGTCCTTTCATTGCAACGCATCCGCAACCATCGCAAGTAGCTCCTTCGTGCTCTTCCCAACGTTCTTGTCATCCTTCGCTATGACCTGCCAAACAGGCCCGTGATGCGGCTCAGCAGCAACGCACTGCCTAATAACCTCCTCCATATATTCCTGTAGAACTCAATTAGTAAGCATCTCAGGTGCATGACAATCGACGCACGGGAGTGCCATGCTGGCGCTCGAACTTAAGCCACCACCCCCAATGGTCTCCGATATCCTTATCCTGTTCTGTAGCCACACTCCTCGAGAACCACTGTCTCGCCTTCTCAATCTTCCTTTCCGTCCAGAACAAACGCGCAACTGTACATGTGATCAGTGGATTATCCTTGCTTTTCTTCAGTGCATCAACAGAGCGGCTTTTTCTGGTCGGCCGTGGTTCAGCCCATATAGACATCGACCATAGGAGACCGGACGATGGGCATTCCTGTAGGCCACGGGCGAGCATCGCTTTTGCTTGTGCAGCTCCACCGGATCGCTCTTCCACACCAACAGACTCTGCCCACAAGATTTCGTTTGCCGGATTGACGAGCCGTCCCTTCTCTAGCAATGCGCGAGCTTTGATGCTCTTTCCATCAAGCTCCTCCAGCTTGCTCGCAAGCACCCATAACGTGATCTCCTTCGGGCAAGCCTTGAGGCCTGCAGCGTATGAGGCACGCGCAGTGGAGTACTGCTTTTCCATCTGGCGGATCTGCCCTTGGATCATGTACAGTTTGGCAAACTTAGGGAATTTAGATAGGGCGGTGGAGACAGTTTCAAGTGCTGCAGCGTACTGCCCTTGCTGACGCTCGAATACAGCAGATTTCATCCAGATCTGAAAGGTTACAGTCAGATCGGTCGTGAATTGGATATTGGGATGAGATACTCACCCGTTCAGTATCTGCAACTGTCCGTGCACGCACGAGTAGCTCCCTTGCGACACCCAGTTCACCATTTTCGGCCTCGAGCTTAACCGCGGCAAGCCAAATTTGTTCGCTTTCGGGATTAGCGATAAAAGCTTTTTCGAGGACCTCACGTGCCGCTGGCACGTCTCCAGCCAGCCACTTTTCTTTGGCTGACATGAGCCAGAGAACTTCTGCCTGCGGGCAATAGTGCACTGCCTGAGAGAGAACTCCATCGAGCGATTCCCTAGAAAAAGTTTAGTACAAGATATATATTCCGCAAAAAAATATCTTACTTAGTGCCGTGCGCCTTCTCCAAATCTGCAGCCTTTCTCCAGAGGTTCCGCTGATCCGGAAAGACTTTGAGCGCATACGCAAGCACGGCCCTCGCAGTCCCGACCATGCCCCTCGCCTCCGCACTCTCTGCATCGCTAACCCATGTATCCAACCTGTCCTCTTCCTCGACCTCCATACTCACTGTAGCCTTAATGATTGCCTCGCACGTACGCGGGCTGCCGTCGCTCTCACATCGCTCCGCCTCCTTTAGCCACTGCTCGCGCGTGAGTAACACTTGGTGCTGCCGGAGCTGCCGGACGCCAAGCTCGATTGTCTTGTCCACCAGCTCGAGCTCCTTGTTTCTGGTTTCTGTGGTCTTGTCGGGGTCGTCGCCCGTGGCCCCTTGCTCGAGCAGGCGTCCAGCAGCAATCCAAATCTCGTGCGACGTAGGGACAGACTTGCGGGCCTTGTTGAGAACGGCTTTGGCGCGCTCAGGAGTTTCGAGACGGGCAAGAGCGAGCCAGAGCTCGACGGAAAGTGGTATCACCTCCACGGCGCGGGAGAGGAGTATGCGGGCGTCTGTAGCTGATTCCTCGAGATTGACAGTTTCCTTCCATAACCGAACAGAATTGGGAATATTCTCGAGTGCTGCATGTCATGTAAGTAAATCGTGGTGGACTGGATGAAAAATTGTGTACCTTTACGCAAGACACGTTTCTTCGATTTAGCATCTTGTTCAAGGTCGGCTGCTGCAAGCCAGATCTTGACGCTCTGACCGACATGTTGAACAGCATTGGCAAGAATGACTTTTGCATCGTCATTATTCTGAAAGGGATATCAGCAACAATACAGAGCGTGCCATGGTTCACGTACATGTAACCGTGCTGCCTCAAGCCATACGTCATCACTCTTTGGACACTGTTCACAACCTGCTTTTATGAGTTTCCTTGCAGCAACCATACGTCCAGCGTGTTCCTCCAGACATGCAGCTGCAATCCAACCAGGAGCATGTTTAGGATTCGACTTGACGAGCGAGTCAAACAGCATGCGGGCACGCTTGATGTCGCCGATTTCAGCTTCAGTCTTGAGAACAACGCTATTGAGTGATGTGAGGTATCCCTTGGGATCAACAGAGGTAGCAGAACCAGATGTAGTGGCTGTCCCAGAAATCTACGATACAATGAGTATGATGCAATAAGTACCTATGATAAATAGAGAAGACGTACCTGATCGAGCTTCAAGGACAAGATCTTATCACGAGCTTGGCCAATTTCGACGAAATTGGTCATGGTACCGGTGTCTGCAGGAGTCTCAAAGCCATTGGCTTGCTGTTGTCGAGTGTCCAAGGAATTCTCATATTCAGACTTGGATCGGTCACCGACGATGATGCTGTCAGGAACGGCGAAAGTCCTTTCGTCTTTTCGCCGCTTCTTCCTTGTAAGATTGCCAACTTCTGGTATGCTTTCCCACTCCTGGTCGGTGACGACAGACAAACCACGCTTCAGGTCAGCGAATTGTTGCTGAATCTTGGGGCGTTCAGCTCGATGTTTTGCAAGCTCGGCGTTCTCTCTCGCCTCCCTGGATAGAAGAACAAAGTGAAGCAGCTGAACACAATAAAATGACATAACTAACCAGAAAGCACACACCTGCGTGCCCGACGCCGTGAGTCCATCTTCTGATCAACATCATCATATATTTTGTCAGCTTCCTCATCATCCTGTTCATAAGTTGTGCCAGCAAATAGGCCATATTCATTGTCGGGGTCTTGGAATTGTTCTGGATCAATTTCGGGCTCCTCACCACGCCTAGCTTGGGCCTCGCTGTACAAAGGATGAGTGAAATCTTCCACGGAGAAATATTCGAACGCACGCAATAACTTCCGCAGATGGACCCTCTCTGGCAGGTCCAATGTCTGAACGAGTTGTGAATCCAGAAGCGCTGTCGTTGCGTTAGGTCGGGGCATGCATTGATATACGAGACACTAACCCTCGACCGAGACCAGCAACATATGATGCCGGAGCCGGCATCGACAAGAACGCAAGTTTGTTTTTATTTGATGCCATAGTGGTCGATCACAACAGAGTGTCGATGGGGCACGTTTGGGGCACGTCGTCCGAGTCGTCGTTGATGAAGCAGGAAATGCGTGATGACTAAGCAACTTACTGAATAATAAAGATTTGTTCTCCTAATACATGTTTATCGCGTAAGCCATTATGCGTCTATCATATCTACCCTAGCTAACCTCCGTCTGCAGGTCGCCATCAAAAGGTAAGTTCACCACGAACGGCGGTACATAAATATTTCCTTGAAGAATCGACTTGGCGAAGTGTCAGCGTGCAGGGCGGCCCAAGCGACAAAAAGGACTCCTAGCTGGTACACTTCCTGACGTTACATTCAAAGCGATCCGTTCCAACATGTACGATAAGCCACGATGAAAGTACTTAAAGCATAGTTTGTATTAGTAAATAGTACATGAATATATCGAGATAAGAAATAGAGATAAAGTTGTTGGGTACGAGAAACGATACTCGACGCTTGCTTCAACAAGTATGGTCGTCGATGAACCATTGTCCGTAGACACCCCAAATCTAATGGTATGTCAGCTGACTGAGACATAAAGGAAGCCAAAATACACATACAGTATTCACGCACGAGTTTGCGCCAGTGAATTCCCGGTCTAGGAAACGAGTAGGGGTTGTTGCACAAAACTCCTTATAGTCTGCTAGGAACGGCAAGTTCTCGAGACGTTGCTCGATGTGCTGTAAGAATGATCAAATTAAGTCCTAGAAAGTAGTGCATCCACTCTTACTCTCTTCTTCGAGCCTCTAGCGGAACAGCCCTTCAGGGTCGAGTGGTTAGTATGAATAAAAAATAATATCTTCAGCTTACCATGTCTTTATATCCACTCCAGTAGGTGACGCAGTCGGGTTCGTCATGATTGATGGCAAAATGTCCAATCACCGTGCCTGAACGCTATACAAAGTCAAAATTTATTATCAGGACTAGTGGAAAAGGTCGACCAACATCTTCGCATCTGGAAGGCCAGTGAGGCCGGCCATGAACAAACATCGGAGTAGCTTTGCAGATTTCCATCCTATGACGGCTCCAACGAGACGCGTTGAGCTCTGCTACGTACTCCTTTGTTGCATAAGTGGTGCAGGAATGAGATTCGATATTGGTCCAAGCAAACTCATTGAGGGGAGCGAATGAGAAGAAAACGATGGCAAACACTCCAAAAATGATTACGGCTCCAAGAATTGTAAAGAAGCAACATCCTGGGTCATTGTTCCGTCGTCTTCCTGTTGGAAGGAGAGGATCAACTTCGTTGTACCTAAAGATAGGTATCAGTAGCTGCATCCTTATTTCGTGCGCTGCACATCATGCCTTGAATGAATTCTAGCAGTCACCTCTATCAAGTCCTGAAAGGATTGCGTACAGAATGAAAGCTTACACGGTCCTAGAATCGGGAATCATTGGTACTACAATGTGCATCGGGGACTGGCAATTTACATGATGCCTGTGGCAATCATGACCATGTGTGTGCCCTTGCGGAGTGCAGTGAGTATGGTCGTGTTGGGATGTTTGTGGCATTGAAGCATGAGGCTGGTACGCTGGAGGAGGGTGACTGAAATCACTAAAGTTTGAAACGTAAACGCAAGGAGCTCAACTATCACAGCAGCCTTGTAATCTCACCTGGTATGATGTGACATCGTATCTCTGAGATAGCTGAGGTATGTAAGAAACGCCGGTGGGCTGCATTGCTGCGTCGATGCGGTAAGACCAAAAAGGCAATTAAGGCAAGATCCGGAAAGGCAGTGCGGGCGATTATCGATGTTTGATCGATGTGCTCTGTTTCTGAGCCTCACAGGATTCCTACTGCATTTACAGTAGGCATTGAGATTGTTGAAAAATGCCACCCAACCACTTTGTTTAGTCCCCCGATTCAGCTGAGCAGCACCACCGCGTACAGCGCGAATCATAAATATATCCAAGGCCTATTGAGAAGCTATGGTCTAATATAAATTAAGTGGAAGCAGATTGTAACAAAGATGAGTAGCGGGACCCTAGAATGCATATAAGAGCTATTTGTGTGTAGACATAAGATCTAAGTCGTGAGTGATTGGTTGTCTAAAATGAATTGCTAGTAATGAGTCGTGGCGAGACAGGAAAAAGAAACAGGCTTCAAGGCGAACTGATCTACCGATGACGTATGTCACAGGCTCACAGTAATCCCGGTACAAACCAGAACTTCACTTCCGCAGCATATGCATCCCACTCTGATGCAGATAGTTTACGGAGCTCACCGTCCTCTGCGTACGCACGGCTCACGCCTACGGACAACGCCCAAGCCCACCACGTAGCCCCTAACAATGCGGAGCTGACAGGTCCGAGGATGCCGCATTCATTTGCCCAGCTCCCGGGAGTTAAATGCGAGAAGGCAATTCCCGCAACAAGCAACAAGGAGCCCGTGTAGGCTGGGTGCCGGACATATTTGTAAAATCCAGATGTCACGAGCTTGTGCTCAGGGTACATGGTGAGATCGAAGGTGAACAAGTGACCGAGTTCATGGAAACAGCGCACGCGGATAAACATCCCGAGAGCAGCCATCATGACCCCGAGCAAGAACACGGGAGTGACTAAATGTTGTGTGCGACGTGCAGGACAGAATACCGAGTCAACGTGGCTTGATAGCTGCGTTGAGAACAACGGTCCACAAAAATAGTGGAATGTCGAAATCACTTCATATGCAGCGCTCAGCCATAGAATTATGGTGTGGGCCTGAATAAAATACAAAATTCTAATCAGATACAAAAGCTACAATAACACCAGCTTACCTTGAAGATCAATGGAGCTATTTGCAAGACGGATGCCTCTTCAGTGTGATAGCGCCATTTTGTTGGCGTTTTATTGGGTGGAGTAAATGCAATCTGGTTGCAGAATGCTTGCACCAGGACAAGGGAAGAGCGCAGAAAAAGAGACATTACAAGTTATGCTGCGTAACGAGTGAACGTATATCAAATGCCTTTTATATTGGAGAAACGAATACCCAGTACGGCTCAACAGGGATGAACCATACATTCACGGGGGGTTAGCCGGCAAAGTGTATCAACCAAAATTCAAAACCAACCAGGGGTTCGTGTCGAGAGCCATCAAGCCGAAGATGTGCGAATTTCCAGTGCTGCGGCGTGTTGCGCTATAAACCTTATCTAGATCGTATACATATGGAGAAGCTCAAAGGACCTGCGAACACTCCATTGAAATTGATTATGCTGAAGAAAAGTTTCTGCCTGTCATATTTGTGTCCGCGGAAGGTGGGCAGTTGAAACGTGTGCCATATCTCGTTTGGGGTGACAGCGCACAATGAGATCGCCCTCGGGGGTATGGTACGACCAGTGGCAAGCCCAAAGTACCAACTAGCAATGATATGATTTATGGACCGTCTCCAACAGCCTAGAGCAGGTCCGGGAGCCGGGTGAAAACCTGTACTAGATCTTGTTTCATTCGCATGCCAAAGAGATTTGATTAAACGTACCGATGGGTCCATCAACGAAAGCACACTTAGCAATTGGTATTGTTCCTCCGTCGACTCGGAACGTTGTCACAAGCCGTTCATGAACTGCTAAAATCGTGATTATGTAATTAACAATCTGAGTCTGAAGTCGACTTCGGAACTGATCCGATCTGTTCCAGCACTGACTTCGACCAGGACCGATACCACAAGATTATCGATTATCTTGAGCACGAGTCCTTGCGCACGAGCTACGAGAGATTGCATATTGATATATCCAATGGCAGACTCAAACTGGTATCCCTCTTCATGGAAATCGAGGTCAGCTGCTCAGGTGGGAATGCCATCGTTCAGGTTCAGGCTCAATCGATGATGAATCATGAAACGTTTGATTTACATATCAGATGGTAGATTACCCTGACCAACAACATCTCCAAAGGTCTGTTGTACACGTGCAGTTCAATACGCATCCGTAATTTACTCCTTCAATTAATCAGAGTCTTGACAAAAATCAATGCTTTACCCCCTCTCGTAACGCCCGCAGAAGTCGGTGTTTAGTATTTTTATCTGCTGTTGTTCATTACCGTGATTGTATTATAGATTGAGCGCCTTCGCTTTCAGATAACTGCTGTGCAGCGGAACGAGGCCTTCTTGCTCCATGCAGGAGATTGCGCAGAAAGTTTTGACGCGTGTACTCAAGTGAGCTATTTCATTCTCAATACAGCCTTCTAAAGCATTTGGAAGCAAAACATATCAGCAAAGATCGGGTTGATCCTTTCGTTTTCTCTCATACTTATTTGGGGTGGACGTCTCCCAGTGGTGCGTTGAAGATGCATGCTATAACGCATGATTAGTTTGCCTGTGCGCATATTCTCACAACGGGCTTTCGTGATTTAGGTACGCATCGGACGCATTGCTGGGCAATATGCCAAGCCCAGGAGCAGCGGAACAGAAACGATTGACAATAGAGAGGTTTTGAGTTTCCGGTGCGCAGTGGCTAATTCAGACATCGAGTCAGACATCATCTAACTCCAACTTGAATTCACATTGCAGTGGTGATAACGTCAATGGGTAGCGACAACAGAAGAATCCATTTTGATTGACAACTAAACTTTTAGCAGGCTTGATCCTAATGATCGAACCCCAGATCCTGAGAGGCTCCTTAGGTTTGTGCTTCACTACCCCATTATAATCGACATTGAACAGCCTTCCTCATATCAGTGCCTACTTTCACTCCACAGCTACCCTCAATTACGTTCGTGGGCTTCTCACATCCGGATTTGCTTCATTGCATCACCCGCGGGACTGGTCGCTCTCACATGTCCGTTCACCGGCGTTACGGTCAGTGTATCCTCTCACATGCTCTTACATGCTCTCACATCCCTGATTTCGGGCATTGTATTTACCGCAGGAGCGAGTTTGAAAAAATCACTCGAGGTCTTTCTGATGCGCTCGACTTCAGCCACACGATAGGCGCTGACTCAGGTAGGGAAAGTGTGCCCTTTGACCAGGGTGGTGGTCGAGGTGTTCTGGGCGAGATTGATTTCTACACGAGGTCAGCTCCCTAATGACATGACATAGTGTGGCGGATCAAATTCATGGTATTTGAAACTGCAGCCACGAAGGATTAATGCTGGACTGGGAGCAAGCAATGACACGGGAAGTTAATGTCGCTGGGTCAGGGCCGTCTCCGCAGGAAAAGGGCTTCTACAATACTTCTGCCCACTTTATATGGGTTGGCGACCGTACAAGACAACTTGATGGCGCCCATATCGAATATTTCCGAGGCATCCGCAATCCCATCGGCATCAAGGTCGGACCTTCATTAGAAAATGCGGAGCTAATCAGGCTCCTACAAAGTACGTATGATTCTGGGAGTACGTCTCACAGAACGTACTCATCGCATGCCTCTTTAAAGTCGTGAATCCAAACAAAGAGAGTGGTCGCGTGACACTCATCACCAGATACGGAGCGGGAAAAGTGCGTTCATTCTCGACTGTTTTCGACAACCTTTGACCAAGCTATCAAGATCGGGGATCACCTCCCTGGCCACATTGAAGCCGTTAAGCACTCTCAACACCCGGTCGCATGGGTATGTGATCCCATGCACGGAAAGTATGTTTACATCCTCGATGACGTGAAACGTGAGCGCTAAGCCATTCCAAGCACACTTACTTCCAGCAGCGGCTTCAAAACACGTAATTTTGGGACTGTCATCAGCGAGCTGACTTCCTGCATCAGTATCCACGCTGCATGTGGGTCTCGGCTTGGCGGAGTCAGTCTTGAGTTCACAGGCGAGCTTAATGACGAAGGCTTCAGCGTGACAGAGTGTCTTGGAGGAAGCATGGAGCTCAGCGAGGAACAGCTGGGGCTCAGATACCAGGTATGCCAGACCACGTTCGTATTCGATTGCTGTTCTAACCCTCAACCTCAACAAAGTCATTCTGTGACCCCCGACTCAATTTCGAGCAATCGCTTGGTATGGCGAGCTAAATTTAAGTCCAGAATTACTTTCAGTTGACACATTTGACAGACGTTGCCTTTCTTATATCGAACTACTTCAAGGAGGAAAGACTCGGTGATAAAGGAGAAAACAGTATATATGCCGCCCTTGGAGGAAGAAGAACAATTTGATAGAAATATGATGAAAGATGTTAAGTCTATCTCGCAAGATGCTGTACAGCTGTATATATCCGTGATACAGCAACAACAATACAGTGGGTGAAAATGATGGCTGTAGAAGGGTACTATGAGAGATCGAAGCCAGCGCCAGAGGAGATTGCCTGTAGGAGCTTGTCACGAAGCTTTTTTTCGCTTGTATACCTGGGCAGCTGATTGTAACAAGTCAGTCACGCTATATATGTCAGCACAAAGTCATTCTACCTTTAGGAGGTTCACGCAGGTGCTCGAAGTTGGTAATCGGTGCTCGTCACTCCCTGCATCACGTATGGCAAAGAGAGGGTTTAGCTGCTTAAAGCCTCTGGAGAATAATGAGCGCCTGCAACGGCAAGTAACAAGAAGAAATGGTGGAGGCTATAAACTCACAGAAGTGGCGGTCGACTGCAGCTTGTGACAAATCTCAAGAACAACCGTCGTTGTTCCTGATCGAAATCCTCCAAAACCTACAGATGAAAGTTACGATCGATAATACATTTGCAGTCTATGAAAATACTGACCTTCCAGAAAGTCTGTATAGTGGGTTCGTCATTATCATATAAACCCCCATATTGGGTATGTGTTCTCAAGTCCTGCACATCCACAGGTGCGTTCACGCCACCTAGCAATATCTGAAGTTCCTGCTGATTGAACATTCTAGAAAGAGCTATATCAACAATCCAGGCCGAGTTAATTTGATCCCAACACACCGAAGCCATTTAGGGTCTATCATATCAGAAAGACCCTCAAAGAATGCCTCGCTCTGGAGCTTGATCTGCTTGCTCAATCTGTAGTGAGAAGTGAGGTAGATATATTGCAGTCGATTTTCCCGGGTCACCGGGACATTGCTGCCATCTGGTATGAGGTCCACGGCTTTGGCGACCCCAAACTCTGGTAACATCCCGCGTCAGAAAGATATAATCCGGGCGCATATTTTAGTAATGACCAACCTTCGATCGCAACAGTGAAGTTCAATGCGAGATCTTCCACATCTCCAGTGTAGTTCTTGAGGAATATGAGACCCTGGTATAAATCAGGATCGAGAGAAGCAAGGTCATCCAGAAAACTTTGTTTGTCTAGCCACTTTATCGTTGATCAATGACGTGGCAGCTTGTTATCAATGATACGGCAATTACCTTGGCTAGGAAAAACCCTGCGAATGCGACCTCGACGAGGATGCCCTTATAGAGTGCCTTGCCTAGAATCCGTCCAATGAAGCGATACCAGTTCAGGTTATGCGCTGCCTCGGATATGAACGTGAGTGTGAGTATCAAAGAATAGATCTGCAAACAACATACGTTCTGTGGCGTACGAGTGGGGATTAGGGTAAATCTCATTCCTTTTAGTTTCCAGCCATAGTCCACGGTCTGTGTCAAACACTTCCTTGCACAATGAAGTAAAAAACTCCTTGAACACGCCACCGCCGTCAATTCCAGCCCTGACGAATGACCACTCATCAGTATCTGTACATTGGACAAATTTTATGCCTTATACACACTCAGGCTCTCCAAATTGATCGATAAATGTTATAGCAATTGGGGCCCTTAGATCTGCTTCGGCCAGTCTGTCGTATCCATCTTGCGCGATATGGCCTCTGCGAATGGATACATCGATCCGTCCACGTGTGTCCCTATTGCGGTTCCACTTATCGTTCTCTACGAAGCGCCGGAAAATCAAAACACGAGTCTCAAATTGGACAGCGAATGGAATATTGTTGAGGATCCCGAGCCGAGGGGAAAAGTGTGAGAGCTGTCTCTTCGTCAAGGTCCGCGGCGCGGAGGACTCATCGAGCTGCTGTTCTTCGAATCTGTGAAGATGTTAGTTAGCACAGGTTAGAGATGATAGATTCACGAGTGCGACCCACACAGCAGCATCTATGAAAGAATTCATGTCGATCTGAGAGCTTATATGCCAGTGGTTCTCAGGCATGAAAGGTTTGCGGGAGCTGAAAAACACCAAATCGGTATGAATTACTGAGCGACTGCGATGATATGCGCGGACTTACTCCCGTGCATGAATAGCTTGTAAACATTTCGTTATCTTGTCTCGTACACCTACCCAACGCAGATTCAGACCCGGCACACCACCTTCCTGGATCTTCGTCTGATCATCCCGCCAGTAAAGAGTAAATGCGATGTTAAACAGCGCACGAGAAAAGGCCACCAGTTCGTCCAAACTCAACGACGTTCGGGAGTTGGAGAAAAATTCATCATCACCCATCGTCAAGAGAGATTGAGTATAAAGCTCAGTGAGTAAGAGTAGAGGTGGCCACGCCGACGCTAGCGAGGGGTCTTGATTATAATCAGTATGATTCATTACAGGAAGCATGAAGACGAACCCATCAAGGATGACATATTTTCATTTTTCCCAAGTGGAGAGTTTCGTACATAGTCGCGGTAAATCTCGCGCACAAGCCCACCCCCTCCATATAGCAGCAACGTACTCAGTATTTTGCTCTTCCGGGTAGGACATACGATGCATAAGTTGACAAGCCATGATACAAGATCGGGAAGTGCGCCATGATCATGCTGAGCTGCCTTCAGCAAGGAATTCAAGTGCGAAGGACTTGGAAGGATCTGGAGACGCTTCTGTGTCCGAGCATCAAGCGGAGGCAGCCTTGGCGTCGGTGAAAAAGATGTAACAACTGTAACTTGTGGTTGTTCTGATTCCGAATCACCATCGTCAGCCCAAGACATTGTGGGGGCGCGGGCATCAGATACTGATGGAGGATCGAGCACATGCACAGGAAGGATGCTCAGTGAAGCGGTCATGAGCTGGAGATATGTTTTCAAAGACGAAAGAGGTAGAATCGCATATCTTGGGGAGGTAAAAGCGTACAGGTTGGCTATAAGATGCACATGGGATTGGAGAGGGATTGGAGAGACAAGTTCGGCAATAGAAGTCGACAAGACTGACAATGAAGATAGAGGAAGTTTTGCGGAAAGGGCTGTGAGTGACGAGATCGGGATTCGATTTGGGAGAAGAGGAGTTGTGAGTATATGAATGACGAGAGACTGAAAGCACTGCAAAAATGCCTCTGAAGAGCGTTCTAATGTGTTGAGCGGGCGATATATGAGTTCCACAAAGAAAGGTAGGGTTGGAGCATTCTTTGTCTCCGGCCCCTGAGAACAATATAAAAGATATAGAGAAGATGGGGCCAAGGAAACTCACAATGGTTTGTATTGAACGAGCAAGGTATTGATACAAGTCATGCCTTACAGCATATTCGGTGATGCTCACAGTGAGCTGATTACCGGAAAATCCCAATGCTTCAACAGCAAACGCTGGGTTCAAAAGAGCGCACAATACTTGAAGGCATGAGACAGCGCGTTCAGATCTGGATCAGGTTAGCTCAGTCAAGAGATTGATAATATGTATCAGAACCTTGGACGATCAGAAACAGAGCGTAGGAGTAGGAAGAAGACTTGTCGCATCAGTACAAGCCAGTGTTCTCGATCACGGCCATGGGCGAGGCTGAATAGCGAACCTAGGTGAATGATTATTTGGTGGAAGCATAGGGTCGTACAGAAGCTGCGTACCTTGAGAAAGGACCTCCACAGCCCATTTATCGAGGAAATCGGTGTCTTGTCCGATGAGGACGAGGCATCGGAGGCCAGTGAGTCCTGTAACATCTCCTGTGAACAGTTCACGAAGTTCCTGGCGGACCCTTCTGGAGTCGGTGATGCCACGCCACCAAGCCTGGATTGTAACTGCACTATCTTGTCGTTTTCGGACAGTTTCCCTCTCGATTCTTCGAGCTCTGGCCTGATTTAAGATGGCTGCTTGAGAGGTGGTGACCGAGCTCGATCCGCCAAGATTGATCTCGCGACGTCTTTCGTCCCCAAAGAGTGGTAGCATATCTTGTGGTTTTGATATGAATTTGCGTGCTTGAAGATTTGGCTGCGGAAAGTAGTTTTGCCTGTTGCTAGAGTGGAGTGACCTGGTTGGTTGGTTGGTTGTACTACGGTAAGTAGCAATAAGTATGTCGTACTATGATACTAGTAGTATGTAATTCGGATGCGGCTACGCGTTCTCAGACGAAAATGCGTGATCGTGACTGAGGTCGGAGTTCGAATCACAGAGGCGGGATCACACTTTTGCTGCGGCGAGCGCGTCAAGACTTGTCCCAGGCAAGCGCCGAATCACGGTTCTTTGCCCTCGATCACGGTTTCAACCAGGCAGGATCACACTTTTCGTGGAGCGGATCACGGTTTTGATCACGGTTTTTCGGTGGGCAGGAGAAGTCTTCTCCTTGGAGATTTCTCGGACGACGGGGCGGGCAGGTCGAACAGTAAGTGGGTCTTCTGGTCCTGCGCTGCGCTGCTGATGCTGATGCTGATTTCGACGGCATGGCAGAACCTGCTGTGAGATCTCTGATGGAGATGGAGGAGATCCTCCCCCCGCCCCGAGAGCTGTGGACAGTGGCTTCCACCTCCTGCATCAATCATCAATCACAGGTAAGTACCATATCGTCGTTCGCCTCTGGGCACACGCATTCCTTCCATGTTGATTTTGATGGTGCGCAGGGACTCACTGAGATGATGCATAATCTGATGGAGATCTCCCTCGCCCCAAGAGTTGTGGCTTCCCCCCTCTGCGTCAATTCCAGGCCCAAGTCCAACATCATCATTTGCCTCTGGACACACGCATTCCACAAACTCCTCGAGGCCTTTGAAGACGTGAATCTGGCGAAAGGAGACGCAATCTCACATTGTACTAGGACTAGTAGCAGACCGTCATTAGACACACTATTGTAGCTGGCAGGCAGAAAATGATCATCAGGGTGGGGTTCATTAATCAACTTGAGTTCGAGGCGGAAAAGAAAAGCGGGGCTCATCCTCACACAGATGATGCGTCGGCGCTAGCAGCAGGCGCTTGCGTCCGTTTCTTCTTTGGCTGAAGTTTTGAGTGGAACTGTGGGACCGACATGGAGCCACGCTGCTCGTCCAGAATTCGAACGGCTTCTGATGCGTGATTGCCGGCGTCCATCGTGGAGTTGATGTGTGCGATGAAGAACATGAATTGGGACCACTGTCGCCTCACCTGGAACAGAGTCTCAGATGTGAGAGAAAACGAAGGAACCAGAGACTGCTCACGTTGTTGTCGTTGTGTGGCCGCCAAGCCTGACGGCGCCCTTTGCGAGTCAAACGGTCCTTTGTTCCTCCCCACTCCTGCTCAATGAGCTGGAGGGGTGGCATCTGACCCACACCGTCAACAATCGTGCCCTCATGCCAAGCCGCCCAGAGTTGTTTGATGGTGTGGTATTCACCAAGGTTACGAGGATGCCAGCAGGCCCAAAGGAGGGATGGTTGCTTCACCATCTCGAAGATGGAGCTCCAGCTGCAGTTTCGAGCCGTGAACTGAGGGAACTGTGGTACAGACGCAGTGATGGGGTCACAGAAGGCCTCGGCTGACGGAATGATGAGATCGCGACCTGAATGGAAGTCGGGGGGCATTGCTGGTGAGAGTGGCAACACATGGAAGGAGCGGCTGTCTCGGACAATGGTTACTGGGTTCATATTGGGCTGCAGATGCAGTGTGGGTGTCGATTCTTCAGCAGTGCAAGCTCTGTGCTTATTAGTCTGAGACAGAGGAGGAGGATGCTGGCAGGTGTCTCCTTGTGCCATTGGTGGCCTTGAAACATCAGGACCCGCAGTGCGCATGGTGCTGCAGCCAACACTGGACGCAGCCACAGGTGAGAACCTGGCTCCGTCATAGTTCTTCGATGGGGAGAGTGGTTCTGTCCGTCGAAGAAGCCGGTTGCAGTGGGAGAGGACAGTGTTTATGGTGGTATCCGATTGGCGCTGAGAGTTTGCGAGAGACACAAAGGCGCTTTGAGTGGCAGCCTCTCCAAATGAACTGCTGATAGCAAGGTCAGATTGTGCGGTGGCCTCGAGAGCTTCCCTGGCCCTTGGCCATTGCTGAAGGAACATCTTGGCCTCACTAGACTGAATGACCTGCAGCCGTTTCAGAAGGGCAGAGTCTGGGAATGACTCGTGGATTGCAGCAATGACCTGGTATGTGAAGTACGTCATATCAGACCCAGAGACACTTTTAGTGGCTTTGGAGCTCTCACCCGCCAGAAGTAGCCACGAAGCAGCTGCAGCAACTCGAGGAAATTGATGGTGCCATAGTTGGTACCAGGTGCCTGGCGGAGATTGGCCAGGGCATCCTCGACGAAGGGAAATATTTGCATCTGTAGCTCAGCCGGGACATCAGTTGTTGCCCATGGAACACTATACTGCTCTCCGACGTAGAACCCAGCCAGGGCACAGACAGCCTGTAATTGTAGAACAAATGTCAAATTCACGTTACAGCTACAAAGATTCAGACTTACTGATTTCGGGATCTTCGCGGCATATGTCTCGCGACGTGTGTTTCCTTCCCAGTGGCCAATGGCATCAACTTCATCAGCATGTACCCTGAAGGCCGTCAGTGAATAAAGCTCTGAAGAATACACTGAAAATCACAGACCCCATGTCCTCCATCATGCTCGGCATCGTACGGCGAGCAAGATGCAGCTTTTTCTTTGATGTTATTGTCGTTGGGCCCAACATAGTGGTGTACATTTTCCGCAGAGCGTCGCCGCTTGATGGCTGTCCGACATGCTTTCCGAACATGAGTTTAACCTACAGAGCCCTCAGCACAACATCTCTGATATACTGATCAGAAAAATGACCTAACCTCGCGCCATGTGGGTGACCGCGACCAGTCCCAGCCATGAACCTTGCTCATCAGGCCCTCTTGGTCAAATTGATAATGAAGTGAGATTGCAAGGGCCCCGATTGGGCACTTCAGCGGGTCCTTGTGTGGGAGCACAAAGTTGTAGTCAGGCTCCTGCTTCTACAGGAAGGTAAAGTGAACTCGTAAATACAGTAGCACTCAGCCAATGAGATCACAGATGCTCACGCCAGGCTTCGCAACCTTGGTCTCGTGGTAGAGTGAAAGAACACCAAAAAAGAACTGCCCGCTCCCGCTTCTCCTCCCATCTGCTGTCGTGTAGTCCGGAACAAAGACTTTGTATGGTTGGATGCAGGATAGTGGAAGGTTGACAAGCTCATCACCCCGGTTCAATGTGGTGCATTGCCATGTCCAACACTGATGAGCCTTGATGATAGATGGCACTGAGGAAGCCAAAGATGGGTGGTGATCTTGTGCGAGCACGACAGAGGGACTTACATTGAGTGAGGGTTGTGAAGACAGACTTCTTGACTTGCTCAAAATGTTCAGGAAATAGGTGGGAGTCCAGTATTGTGTTCTCCGTGACATCAAAGTCTTCACGCCTAGAAATGAATGTTGAAAGTCAGTAGAGAGGTCAGCTAGGAGTGTGGAGAAGCTTACTCGAGGCGGAGGCGTTGTGCTTGAACCATCAGTGCTTTGTAGAAGTCCGAGATACGTGGAGTGAATGCTGGTCGTGCCTGCTCAAGAGACATGTTATCATCAACCTGGCGGCGCCGAACACGACCAAGCATTGACATTGTCTTCTTGAGGGAGCTCTTGTATTTGGTCAGCAAGGGAGCACAGCGCAGTTGATTTGAAAAGGAAACTCACCGCAGACAGAGATCCATTTGCACGATCTTGTTCACCACCGTTTCGGGTGAGCAGTTTGCGGGTGCCAGTGTACTTCAGGTACTCAATGATGTGGTGCGCATCAATGATCACATCCGGGACTTGTCCCGATGCGATTGCGGTGGTCAACCAGCGCTAGTTAGCAGAAATGTCAGAATGCAGCCACCGAAAATGATATTTGTCAAGATTTACCTTCCATATGTTGAGGACACTTTTCTCTGTATTCTGTCCACTTTTCCGGCGCGTGCTCATGATAAATTCGTCGACCTTACAAAATGACCATTAGCCGACATTGCAACTTCCAGGAAAACATGCACACTGACCCATGTTCTCGCTGTGTTGATTGCATGCATGCGCTGGCCTGGAAGCAATCAGTACAAGGCCAGACACACAAATCACGATGCTTACTGCTCGCATGAACCAGCGGTTCATCATCATCTTGACCATCAGGGACATTGGCACCAGTATCGTCGATGTCGTCTTCTATGCGGCCGCTTTCACCACCGTCGAACGCATCTTGAAATGAGCGAGCCAGCTGACTTGCATCGTGCGCAGCGAGGGTGTCAATCTCGTCAAGCTTCTGGGTAGATGCAGACTCAGATGACTGGGTGGGGGCCGTTGGGCTGCCAGGTTCGGCTGGCACAGGCACAGTGCTGATAATTGAGGGGGTAGATGATGCGAGGGCTGGATTGGGAGCGCTGCCAGGGGAGTGTGTGATGAAGGACGAGAAAAAAAGACAAGTCCACATGCACATACCTTGGGTGTGCTGCAAGCCGTGCAACAAGGTCAGCCTTCCTTCCTCGTGTGCCCAAGTTCCGCTCGCGGCACAACTGCTGGAGTTGCTTCACCGTCGATTTGGCGCTGATAAATGTCTGTCATCAGTATCAACGAGTTTCGGATGAAGGATCCACTGACCTGGTAGCACTTTCTCCTCCTCCAGATAGGCTTTGTCCAGCAGGGTTTTGAGACTCGCTGCAAGATGGCACGGTGTAGGGATTAGCTGTGTGAGTTTGTTAGTACCAGTACATACAATGAATTCCCCCTCCCCCCCTCCTCCGAAAAAAAACAAGCTCACCTCGCTGACGGCAGGATGGCCGACTTCGCACAGGTCCGAGTGCCACTGATGGCACGCTGTGATTGGCCAGCGCAAGTAAGGCAGGGTCGATAGCATTAATATTGTTGTTGTTGCGGTCGACATCCATTGCCAGTGGATGGACCATGAAGATAAATCTTGGCGTGAAACGATTTTCGCGCCAATAACACTGGAATAATGGGCTTGAGATGGAGACAGCGACGATGTCGACGACAATGACAAGGAGGTGGCGGGCGAGCAAACCAGAAGGGCGGGATTCCCTTCCCAAAAAGGACATTTCCGGTCGATTCCTGGGGAAACAGCCAGGTCACGTTTCGACCGTGATTTTGCCTGCCAATCACGCACCTAAAAGCGTGATTACCCCCCAAAACCTTCGCCTGGGGTTTCCAGTTCTTGCTTGGTCAGCAAATAAACCCTAACCCTAGAATGGGTTTTGAACTGGCTCAAAGTTGGTCACACATCGGGGGTTTCAACGTTTTGCCTCTTGCTAGATTTCAATCAAAAGCAGATCTGGACCTGATTGGACCATTCCAGACCTAGCCTAGAGCGTTCCAGAGCACTCTGGATTACCTTTCGAATATAATTTCACTGGCGGCAAAAGGTGGTAAAAATGTTAGTTTCCCGCCATGTGTCACGTTTAGATATTTACAATGAAATCACTGCATAAATGGACGCGACGGCTGTATTCATATCACTCATTACGCGCGCATACTACGAATATTGTAACCTTGCTCTTATTTCTTTTCACACTAGTTTTTTCACATATCGACGGTATTATCATATAGGACCGTGCGGCATTGAGTATGCTTTCGCCTTGGTCACAACTATTCCCAATCAGCAGTTTTCACCTAGGATTCACAACTTTTTCGCCCTCTCCTGCATCAATTGACGGGCACCATGTCATCTCAGTCCGTCTCGCAGATTCTCCTCTTGGGATACACAAAATCACACGCTCGTTGACTCACGAGGTTGTATGCCCACCACCCTCTCGGCATCCATCCTCGGACGACCCTCAGCTCGCTTGGCAGGCCAGATATCCCAAGGGTTCCTGCAGTCCAAAAACGGAAATACCTGGTGGATTTGGATTTTATCTCGGTGGGCCTAAAGAAATTGTATCCTTGTTAGAAGGCGCAAAAGAAGTAGTTTTTGGATATCGGGTGATGTTCGAGAAGGGTTGGGAGTGGGTCAAAGGAGGGAAATTGCCAGGAATATGTGCGCTCATCCCCGATCAAGCCCTGAAATGAGATATTGATACACAATTGCAGATGGTGGTATCGGCGATATCGCCTATAGATGCTCTGGTGGACGGCAGAACGACCGTTGCAAGTGCTTTGATGTTCGTCTCATGTGGAGGTAAGTAGCACGCACCCCTTTCTGACTTGTTTCCTGATTCCTGGCTAGGCGTGATGGGCAAGGAGAAATTTACGCCTATCTACCTATAAACGAAACAAATACAGATGCGCTTCTTGCGGTTCTGCCCTGCTCCAAAGCCAACCCTGATTATGGAATTTCAGTCGGGATCGGCGCATGGATCTTTGGGTCAGGTGTCTGGACAACTGTCGCACAACGTGTTCAACTTAATGATATCGGCAGAGCTGATGGTAAGGCGTGGTGATCGCTGGGGTAATACTGAATCTTGTGTCCTAGGAGAACTCCAACTCTGGATTAACGGCGAATGTGTGATCCACGCAAAGGGGCTAATTTTCCGAGAGGACGAGGCATCCCATATCAAGGGCATGCATTTTCAGACGTTTTTTGGAGGTGCGCGAATTCTTCCGTTGCTTGTTGTCTGGTAAATGCTTTTCGGTTGTAAATTGGTTTCTCATATTATTGATCAGGACACGAGTCCGATTGGGCATCACCCAAAGATCAACATGCTTGGTTTTCCGATGTCTCTGGAGCCGTCATTCGTTGATATATGTTTTCTGAACGAGTCTCGAGTTATTTCGCGCTCGTTCATACTACGTGTATACATCTCCAGTGAGGCCATATATCGACTTAGCCCCCTTTTTACTTCCTTTCATTTGAAATTTTTGTCATGACACACATACGTACACCTTTCAATTTTTTTTGAACGTGCCTTGATGTACTCCCATTGACCTCTTGGTAGATAATATATGTAGGTATCACCGGTCTTTCATTACAACAATACTGCAGCAAGTGGTTTCGACTCGGAACTGCCCCACCAGGGAAGTACATATTTACCTTATGCAATTCCTTTACCTCCACAGTGCGACCCAGTAGCAAACAGAGATAGTCTTTCTGAGGACAAAGTACACCAGCTTTCTCGTCACTGACCTCGCTCATTCCCAGCGCGAACTTGCGATATTTGTCAACTGAGCGAGAAGTCCGTATGACCACTGGAGCAAATGGGCAGTCATGAATCTAGGAGATACGATGAACCGAAAGTTCCATCATGTTGTGACTCTAACTTGCTCTCATAAACCAAACATCGTTCTTCATCTGCTCCACATCTAAGGGACCCGCGAGGCGCACGATGCAGATATTTGCATTACGATACCACCTGAACATTGAGCGTATAGCCTCATCGAGCTCCGTGCTCACTGCTGTTTATGTTGCTCATGCCAATTGGTGTCCTAGTTCCGTCGCCTTCTCTCGAAACTTCGACAAGTTTTGAAACCCATCTTTGCCGCATTCCAAGACTTCCTAGTGATTGAGACTTGTTGAGCGCATGAATGCTATCTAGACAAATTCACTCGCACCCTGCTCATCTTTTCCCAAAGCATCCTCCTCTATTTTCACTACAGGCGCGTGGCGAGTCTCTCGCAAGCCACATACGCATCATAGAAGTTCGGAGGGATCGAGCGCACGATGAAAACGTACAGACATCTTCATTGAAACGGTGGACGGTATTGGTGGGGGACTGTGATCGCTGCTTATATCCTCTTAGTTGAACAGCGTTTCAAAATCGCACCGCCTGAGGATTAGACGGTCTGCAACTCGAACGAATCTGTTCGACGGATTTCTTTCCAATTACAATAGCATTGGGCAAAGATGTGCCTGCTTGTCTCCCGCATGGTTATTGTCTAGGGTATAGAATAAAATAGCCTAGGCCTGTGAGTACAAAGATTTTAGCGTCCATTAAATTGTGTGATCACCGTGCGTTCAAGTTGGACCTTGGTGAATATGAAACGGAGCGCCATAAAGGAGGGTGTTGTGAGGGCGATAAGTTTAATATTACCGTTCTTCCCATGCTCGCCTTGACTGACCTATCCCACCACATCTCGAATCCTATCCATTGCACCAAAAATTGGGGACAGTGGTGGAATTCCACCATACGATAAATCGTTGCTAATGTCTTCGTTGTCCTTCCGGTTGTCACGTGGGGTTTTGAGCACAATATCACCTCCGTGTGTACTTGCATCAAGAGCCTTCACATGAAAACTTATCTGACTGAAGACATGACGCAGTATCCCGCACGCAAAATCATGGGGAGTAGGGTATAAGCCGACAAAAACACGGCCCTTGCTCGACATGTCGCAAGGTGTTCCAGGAACTCCTCCATCTAAGGTTCTTCTCGACGCTCTATCACACTCATCGTCTTCTCCGGGATCATCAGGGTACTGCCATGTTCTTGGAGAACATACCCTTCGTTCTTCCTTTGCGGAGGAGATGAAGACAGTATACGGACCAGATATAGATATCACCCAAGATGACATTGCTATCACGGCTGGGTGCAATATGGCATTTGTCGCGACTGTGATGTGTCTTGCTGATCCAGGAGATGAGATTATTCTGCCAGTTCCATGGTACGTTTGTCACCTCTCCCTTGTGGTCCCGCTCAAAAGACGTCGAGTAGGTATTTCAACCACCAGTATGGTAGTTTACTCACCGGGTCTGCTCTCATTTGCCTGATAACCTGCCCAGAATGAGCTTGAATCTTCTCGGCATCAAAACAGTTCCACTATATACTCGCGCTAATGAGGGCTTCCTTCCTTCAACGAGCGACTGCGAGAAGTTAATCAATCCGCGAACAAAAGCAATTGCGCTTGTGACTCCAAATAACCCAGTTCGTCCCTTGCTGGTTGACGTGCATGAACTCATCACCACCGTACAGACAGGTGCAATTTATTCTCCAGACTTGGTTTCAAAGTTCGCCGAGCTCGCACAGAAACACAAGATTGCTCTTGTCCTCGATGAGACTTACCGGGATTTTGTGGACATTATGCCCCCGCACACCCTTTTCTCTCCATTTCAAACCGAGGTGTCGAAGTCCTCTTGGTCATGGAGATTCAACGTCATCCATCTCTTCTCCTTTTCCAAGTCTTACTCCTTCCCTGGACATCGGCTGGGTTTGATTGCAGCGTCACCCGACCTCTTGAAACATATCACCACCACGCTCGACTGCCTACAAATATGTGCACCACGCCCTCCACAATTAGCTCTTGCTTCTCCAGGCTTGCTACCTATATTGCGTCAGTCAATACAAGCCAGTGCTCAATCGCTCAAAATACGCCACAATATCTTCCGCACACATCTCCCTCCCGGTTGGACGATCGGATCGCAGGGTGGTTATTTCGCCTTTGTAAGGCACCCTTTTGTTGGGATCCCTGCAATCACACTATGCCAGCGACTAGCAGAAGAACTCGGCGTTTTAGCCCTTCCCATGCAGTTCTTCTGCGATGACAGCGTCGGATTTGAACTCGAGTCACTTGGTCAGTCGAAGATGGATTGGGAGCGTTGGATCAGATTCTCAGTGGCAAATGTGAGCGATGACATGGTCAAACAAGTATGTGGGCGACTGCATGAGTGCGAGCAGCACCTCGGTTTGACAGCAGAGTAGTCCAAATTAGTTTGTGCTCACAGATTGGGCCACTTCAAGTTGTTGCCACACATTTTCGAGATGATTCTGCCGCGGCATCTTGAGGCCAGACTCTGACGGCTCAGAATGATCCGTATCTGGCTTGTTGAAAACCCGGTACCTTGCCGTGATTTGGGTATGCGTCTGAATCGCCCAAGCGCTAAGGTACCCGTATATGTACGAAATGGAGTTTGAGCGCACACACGCGAGACAGATACTTAGGTTGAGTTGGATCGGAATGGCCGCTGTAAGTCCCGGCCGAGTAGATCCTTAGCCAAGAGAATCAGTGACAGTAACGCTTAGCTCATGTTGATCATGCACATGGGTCACCAGGATGTTCCAGCTGTGTAGCTCCGCGCTTTCAGGAATCAGAATCAAAGCCTAATCTGTCATATTGTTCACTCCAGAAACTACAAATTGTCAAATGACTAATTAGCGCGGTGCCTACTACTCTCCTTCCCTCTACGTGGCCACTGCCAATATGATGGCAACTCCAACTCCAACCTTCCGCACAATTACTCCGCCTCCTGGACGCACCTTTGCGAACCAGCATACCCTGCCGAAGCTCCCAGTTCCATCTCTCGATGACACTTGCAAGCGCTACTTGACCGCTCTTCGAGGTCTCCAGGATGACAAGGAACATGCTGCTACTCAACATGCTGTTCGAACTTTCTTAGATGGCGAAGGTCCTGCTCTACAGGGGAGACTGAATGAATGGGCTCAAGAGAAAGCAAGGTGAGTTTTGTCTATCGCTATTGGAATTGCTGCATCATGATGGCTTCCCGGATCTTGTCTTGCAACCCTTTCGTTGCTCGCAGTTATATCGAGGACTTCTGGTGAGTTTCTCTTATCTTACCTTTAGGTACTTCTTCTAATCATAGATATCTCATCCTTATTGTGGGTAGGTATGAAAGTTATCTCTCGCACAGCGATCCTGTAGTACTTGCTCTCAACCCGTTTTTTGTCCTTGAGTACGTTTCATGTGATTTTCATTTGACTTCTAAAACCCTCCTTAAATCCACCGCCGGCAGGAATGATCCTACTCCGGATCGGGGCTCTCAGCTACCCCGGGCTACAGCTCTTATCATATCGTCATTAGGCTTTATTCATGATCTCCGCCAAGGTCAACTTGACCCCGATGTCGTACGTGGTTGCGCACTAGATATGGATCAGTACAGTAGATTGTTCGGGACTGCTCGTATACCAACAGAGGTATGTCTCGCAAAATCATACCTGAACTCAAACCAAATCTATCCGTTCGGCTAGCGTGGCTGCAAGATGCTCGTGAACGATGCAGCTCGTCATATAGTGGTTTTACGGAGGGGACAGTTCTGTTAGTTGGACATGCTAGCACATGCATTTAGCCACTAATATTTCACTAGATTGGTTTGACGCCCTTGATGAGGACAACCGACCCCTGTTAACCGAACGTGAGGTTCTTCGCAACCTCCAAGCCATCTGCAAGGACGCTGACAAGACTCCAATCACTGAGGTCAGGACTCATTGAACAACACTTATCTATTTCCTCTGACTGGCTCATCAAGGTTGCTCGTACGGCTATTGGTGTTCTCACTACCGAGAATCGGAAAACTTGGTCTTCCCTTCGACATGAACTCGTGCAGGATAAGACCAATGCAGCTTGCCTGCGTCTGGTCGATGATGCTTTGTTTGTGGTCTGCTTGGATGATGCAGCCCCAGGTCGCGATGGCATCGGTGCGCTCGCTCAAACCGGCGAAAAGGGAGAAGACCTCGCTGCTCTATGCAGTAATTTCCTTTGCGGAACTTATGACCTGCGGGAAGGTGTGCAGGTTGGCACGTGTACTAACCGGTGGTATGACAAAGTGAGTCAGCGTTCACGATGCTTATCGGTAATTGATCTGATTCATCATTCGATTTAAGCTGCAAATCATTGTGTGTGCAGATGGTGCCGCCGGCATCAACTTTGAACACACTGGCGTTGACGGCCACACGGTTTTAAGGTACCTCTTAGTCGCCTCGGACTATTTTATTACTACTATATGCTCACGTTGCGATCAGGTTTGCTGCAGATGTCTTCACTGAAGGCCTCATGCTGCTTGCGCGTTCAATCAATCCCTCCGCACCCACTCTGTTCCATGCATCCCTTTCTCCGCACGCTAAGTCCTATAGGCCTCCCAAGTCGATAGCCGGCGGCAAATTGCCAACATCCTCTCAAAGTTTCTCATATGACACCTCACCTTCTAAACTCATGTGGACACTGACTCCCTCAATTCGAGTTGGCATCCGGTATGCTGAGACACGGTTGAGTGACCTTATATGTCAGAATGATTGTCAGGCGCTCGAGTTTAAGGGCTATGGAAAGAATTTTATTACGAGTCATGGTTTCAGCCCCGATGCGTTTGTGCAGATGGCTTTCCAGGCGGCATACTTCGGGCTTTATGGTCAGGCTCCAGATATGTTGTAACCTTAATACTGACATTGTGATAGGGAGAACGGAGTGTACTTATGAACCTGCAATGACGAAAGCCTTCCTTCACGGGAGGACCGAAGCCATCCGGACAGTGCAACCTGAGAGCGTGGACTTCACGAAGGTAAGCACCTATACAAGCATTGGGTTCTTCTTTCTTACTGGTTTCCATTCATCTATTTAGACATTTTTCTCGGAGTGTTTGCCTGATGAAAAGATTCGTAAATTGCGCAAGGCGTGTGATCGACATGTACAACTTACGAAGGAGTGCAGCCAGGGCTTGGGCCAAGACCGGTCAGTTCTCCTGTCAGCTGTACCCCCATTTCAGTATTGATAGCTTCTTGCAGACACTTGTATGCATTATACTGCTTGCATCAGCGCCAGGTGACAGGAAACCTTGACCCCTCTCCTGATGACCCGATCCCGAACGGAAACATTCAGAAGAATATCCTTCCATCAATCTTTGCTGACCCGGGCTGGGGTCTACTAAGTACGTCTATTCTGTCCACTTCAAACTGTGGGAATCCCGCGTTGCGCTTGTTCGGATTCGGGCCCGTTGCGGCTGATGGGTATGGCATTGGATATATCATCAAAGAGAATGGGATTAGTGTGTACGCCACAATTCTCATTATCCATCGGCGTGTCATTGAGACTGACAAATATTCTTACAGCGTCGCTTCATCGAAGCATCTACAGACGCGCCGATTCCTGGATACCCTCCAGGGATATCTGTTAGAAGTTCAGAGGATCTTAATCCAGCTCCATCGCTCCGCAAATGAACGCCCAGCGCCATTTGTTGATCACTCTGGCATCCTCCGTGACTCTAAGACTGGTCGACCAATCAACGGCCACGATTACGGGTCAGACGAATCGGGCAGCGACTACGGGGATACTATGCGTGAGTCGTTTGATTATGCGCAGGTTTTGGTAGGCTTACTAATACTTATATTCTTAGCAAGTTATTCGTTCTTTGATAGTGGTGATATCGAACTGCTCGGACGCCACAAGAGAAGTCCGTATGCAAATATTGGTGTGTCTGACCTCGTGCAATGTTTTGCCAGCGTTGATTAACTCTGGCATGTAGGAAAAGTCCTCCCGCTTTCCGATTACTGACAGAAAGTGGCTAAATGTTGTATTTACAAGTATGGGAAAATATATTTTAGCCTACCATTTTGCGTGTATCACTGCATTTATGATGTCAGATGTATATAATCTTATGACGTGGGTTAGTAACACGTATGCGGCGTCGATAAACAAACGACAACTGAGATAAATGGATGATATCAGTCTCCTATCATATTCCCACTCTCTTGAGCTCACCACCACTGTCTCTGTTATCATCGAAGCCATCATGTCCACACACACTCTCCCTGATCTCCCATACTCCTATGATGCTCTCGAGCCTTTCATCTCGAGGCAGATCATGGAGCTTCATCACAAGAAGCATCATCAAACCTATGTGAACGCTCTCATTGCTGCTGAGGCTAGCTACGCAAAAAGTTCTACCCCCAGAGAGCGCATCGCCCTTCAGGCAGCACTCAAGTTCAACGGTGGTGGTAAGTCTTCATACTTACTTCAGGCGCTAGATGCGTTCATTGGCTTATCGCTCGTCATCGATCGCGATCTCACGTCATTCATTACACATACTTAGGTCATATCAACCACTCTCTGTTCTGGAAGAACCTAGCGCCTGCCTCCAGTGAGGGCAAGGGTAATGGTGGTTCCTTGAAGGCTGGTCCTCTTAAGGACGCCATCGAGCAGACCTTCGGGTCGCTCGACGCGCTCAAGAAAGAGTTCAATGCCACCACCGCTGGTATTCAAGGTTCCGGATGGGGCTGGCTCGTAAGTTTATTGTTCCACACACGAATGATGTAGCGCTCATGGCGCTTCACACTCAGGGTTTGAACCCCACCACCAAGCGCCTCGAGGTCACCACGACTGCAAACCAGGACCCGCTTCTGACGCACATCCCTATCATTGGGGTTGACATCTGGGAGCATGCTTTCTACCTCCAGTATCTCAACGTTAAGGTTGATGTGAGTTATCATTATTCGTTTGGAGCGAGAGGCACTTCATTGATCACATATATAGTATCTGAATGCCATCTGGAGCGTTATCAACTTCGAGGAGGCTGAAAAGAGGTTCACGGAGGGTCTTTCTTCTAGCAAGCTGTAAGCTTCTGAGGGGTGACAGAATAAAATGAAAGAGAAACGAATTCGCGCCATGTTGTATTATCGACACGTTGCTTGTCGCAATGAATTGTGTCTGTTGATCGTTCTAGGCCAACGCTCCGATGAGTTTGATTATTTATCTATTGAAAAACGTGCGCAGGTTTGTTACTTGTTTGACATTTCAATACTGTTAGCCCTTTGTTATCACAAGGAAGCCAACGGGAATCCTTCCGAGGCAAAGAGTGATATTACATAATCGCGCGAGCGGCCTGGGGAAAATTATTGCGTGCTAGGCGGCGGGGATAGGTATCAAATCGGTAACAGCGATTTGTTTCACTCTACCAAAGAAGTTTGCGTTCTATTCGGATTGGCTCCTCACTGAAAGGTGCACCGGTGAGGGTCCCTTGTGATAGAAGAAATGAAGGTCTGGCTTAGTAGGGTACCATCGCATCGGGTGCCTGAACGAATATGGATGACAATTGATGCCATACTATTGCGGTGGTATTGCACACGCCACTCGCTTAGTAAGCCATTGTTTGAGCCCCTTTGAAGCTCGAACTGCATTCTTGCCGTTCAACTTGAAGCTCCCTTGTCTTTCATTACCCGCCACGCGCGCATTTTGGTCGTTGCTAGAACCCGCAAATGTTCGTACTTGCACTTGATGAGTCTAGGCATTCAACTAACGTCACGTAGGGTCGAGTCGGCCACGGTTGATTTCTATGTCGTGCTGGAGAATGAACATTACCTCATTTCAGTATCTGCAAAGAGCAAAATCATACATATCTTCGAATATCTAAAGTCACACTATGACGAAACCCATCCAGTCCTGAAGAGGATCTCGTATAAGCGATGCAAGTTCTACAAATTCAAGAACCCTGTATTAGTTCCCGACGAAGATTCCATGGACAAGGCCAACATGATCAAACAATGTCTGGATGAGCAAAATTGGATAGAAGTGTTACCGGATAGACGTTTGAAAGTACTGGGATCAGAACTAGACGACGATCATATTTACTTGGTGGTCAGGCCTCCACGACCTGAAGGTGCGCCACTGCTGTATCTATTGATAATTGACATTCTCATCCTCTGCTTCAGAGGAGACAGATAAAGCCATTGAAGATGTGCTTGAGAAAGACGAAGAGCTTTTTCGTCACTTGCAAGTCACTGTAACAAAGTTGCAATCATGGACCAAGCAAGACATTGAACATAACTTGGACGGTGGCACATGGCTCACTCATAGCCAAGAACGACCAGATTCAATCACTGAGATAGAGGATCGACTAGGTCGAGCGCGTATATACGCTGCATTACGCAATGACCCGTTATACGATAGGGACTCTCCGAGACTGTTATCAGGCTCAACCCCGTCAACTACCCCAATCGCACACAATAGATCCATCCCCCTCCCGGATCCGATGAGGGACTTAGAAAATGCCTCCAGTTACCGGTCACTCTTTGACGACATATTTAGAGCCACTTGGTTCACGCCGACCGAGGGGAGACATGTCGATGTGAAGGATACCCGGGAATTCGCAGCTTTCTTCAACATCCTCCGTTCTTATCACCAAGACTGCGATCTTCTGGTGAACGACTCCTCCTCCTCCCAGAAGGCTAGCAATTTTACTGTGCATTTTATATCGCCGCCTTTCTTTTCCCATCGTAGTGAACATTTTAAATACAAAGAGTGAGTGGAATCAATTCGTTGTTACAGCCCAACTGACCATCATGAATTTTTCAGGCAGACGCCTTGGGAATTTCCCATCTTCCTGAATACTCGGGATAATCCCAACGTCTGGTGCAAATTCACCCCAACCAGCGATTGCATGGTCTCGTCTACTTCGTTTCTTTGTCCCTTCATGATCTGTGAAGTGGTTTCACAGAAAAACGAGTCCGATCGACTCCGCATGCTAATTCAAGGCATCGCTCTTGCACGCGTAGGACAATGTTTCATGCCAGGCGGAGAGAAATTTTTCCTTGTGGCAATTTATCTCCGTGCAAATTTGACCGCCGAAAGATATATCGTTACCCAGCCTGGTGCAGATAGAAGGGTCTGTCGCTCTGTTTGTCGTTGCTTTTTGTTTCTTACACGGAGGCCAGGTATTCATTGCCCAGAAAGATTTTGACCTTACAAAAGCCAATGAGGCAGTCGCATTCCTTCGTGAGATGTACAACCTCGCGCAGGAGCTCGACGATTTAGCGGGCAAACTTGATCCAAAGAACAAGAAACGCCTTGGCAACATCAAAGTTGCCGCGTCTAAGGTGATTTCTCTTACGTCACAGGCTCAGCACAACAAAACACCAAGAACGACATTGGCCTCCATCCCTGAAGAAAATCCTGGTGCCAGTGGTGCTCAAGATGATCTCGGCGTCTTTGATGCTGATGACATTCAAGGTATTTTGACAAAGATGGATTACCAGATCTCGTTCATTGTGTTTGGGGTGTGTACTACCGCAATCAACAATCTAGTAACATTAACAAGACATCTTACAGCATCCGTTCCTCGCCTTGATGTCATATATCGAGGATGATTCTCAACAAGGATATCTCAAATTTGTGAAAGAGGGGCAAAAAGAGATCGAGATTTTGCGATACCTCACGGGGATTGAATCTCCCTCAAACTACACCATCTCGCCAGTCCAAATCTGGCCGGTGCAAGGGGGTAACGTCGTATCAATGCCTACGGCTGGCAGCCACCTTACCAGTCTATCCAACCCTGGCGCGCACCTATGGCCTGTGGCCAAGCAGCTATTCGAAGCTGTTGACTTCATGCATCAGCATGGCGTGGCGCATCTGGATCTGAAGCCTCCAAATATCCTCGTTCCCGTCAACGGCGGCCGCCTGTCTATCATCGACTTCAACAGATCCGTTCGCATCAAAGGCACTGAAACAATGTTCCGCGGGATTGTTGGCACCAGCGGATATCTTGCGCCCGAAGTCGCGGCTGGTCAAGGCCTCTACAGCGCGATTCGCGCGGACTTGTGGTCCTGTGGAAAGACATTGGAGGAGCTGTGCTCCCTGTGCAGTCCATCCAGGGATCGCAACGCGCTACTTGAACTAGCTCAAGAGCTCATGAATGACGACCCAAAACAGCGACCGATGATGTCCGATGTCTTGAAGAGGCTGGCGTATTACAAGGTCGACGCCAATACAGGATCAGGTTACTTCAGGTAACGTGCTCCATCCTTGGCGTGTATGCCGCACCGTATGTGAGCATTCGTTTAATTGTTCGGGGCAGTTTCTCCTCTGTTGCACCACCGGAAGTGCCCGCTTGAGCTCAACCCGCTTGTACTCCGTATACCTCAAAGTGAGCAGAAGGTAATTGGACGGACGACTCGATGGCCCAAGCGCAATGCATGCCAGTTATACCCTTGTGTAGAAGTAGGAAGGTCGATCATACCGCAATGTACCTATACCATTCGTCTGTCAGATGTTCTTAGCCAAGCATCCTTATCTATATGAGTTCAAACATTATGGGGGCATAGCATTTTCCTAGTTAGATGGGGTGATGCTTGCAGGGGCGCACCCGCGACACCAATAAGATAGGTAAGTTTGCTCACATATTGCAATATTGTGCTGAATGTTCGATTCAGACAGAAGAGATGATCGAGCAGCTGGTCCCTTCGTTGTTGCCAATCGAAGCGCTTATTACCCATCCAGATTACTCTCCACACCTGGTCGCTTCGCAAGAGCTTACAGGCCTCTTCCGGAACATGTGATTCCTCTGCGTCCTCTTCCACTTTACATCTGGCGAGGAGAAGGGCGCAATGACATGGCTCATGCCTGCACTGGCGAAAATTGCAACAAAGACGCCAACTCTGGTGCTCGAGAATGCTCATCATGCAGCGAGCGAAATCGAGTATAGCACTCTCATCCGGTATGAATATGCGCATTCTGTTAGTGCTCTGCGTTATTTCGAAAGGGAGGATACTTAGAGATTTTGACAGGTTATCTCGAAACACCGGTCGTTCCTTGCACGCCATATTCCACATCGTGCAAGCGAGATACGCTCCTTGTCCCTGGGACAGGCGATCTTCTTGTCGATGATGCAAGGCGTCGAGAGTATGCGATCTGCTGCTGGTCTCCCGTCTTTCCTAGTGTCATACTTCACGAATGGCAGCCTGAATCGACAGAGCTATCTTATTGTATGCATGGAATCTATAGCTGACAAGATAATGTTCGACTTCAGATATGATGCACTGAGCTAAATTGTCAACAGGTTATGCGTGGATGTATGGGAGAGATGGATTCCCAAGCTGTGGAACAGGCACTACCGGCCCATCTATCAGAGGAACTTCACAAACTGCTTGTAGCCAGCACTCATCACATATCTTGTGCTTGGAACATCGCTACCAAATACCTATTTATATGGTCAAAACAGAAATAGGTTTCAAAGTTCAAAACTTTTTTCTCTTCTCGGGCTGGTACATATTTTAGAGGGACTCCCAAGGATCAATATGAGTCAGGAATAAACAAAAACGGCGGTTGGGATGTGGAGATAATGTTAAAATACTGATATTATATAGGATTCTTGTAAATAGGTTCGGTTAAATATATGGTTATGTTAACCCCTAGGCCCCGAAAAACGAAAATGGAAGGCCTACAAAATCCATTTTGGTAATCTATCATTACAAAATACAGCATATATAGCATATATCAAGTGTAGATCTAACTGGTACATTATAGCATCATAATGACATAACATACATCACACAAACTCATGGCTATACACACCAAAAATTCTTAATACATATATAGTATATCTAATGTTGACCTGTGATAGCGTTGAAAAATGGAGAAAATATCATATAGAAAGTATCATATCATATAGGAATAATATACGGTATAATGTATTCTAACGTCCGCGGTCGCCACAGGTCTATTGGCGGAACAACGGGAGCAAAAGAACGAATCAAACATACATACATGAACAGATAAATATAGTAAATTTCCGCACTTGGAACTGGTCCATCTGCGGACGTTAACAAGTTAATAGTCTATAATATATCATATATCATATATAAATGATAAAGATAAAGATAAAGATAGTAAAGATATATACCTTCTATCGACGCCAAAACAACATCACGTGATAACATCACGTGATGCTCGCGGACCTCCAGTGAACATGAGGCAGAGGCACAGGGCGAAGGGCGGAAGGCTAGGGTAAACCAAAAATCTGGGAGCCGGATAATAAAATTTTTCACTGTTAGTTACTTACCATCGTGTTGCCGTTGCATTGCCCCACAAGATCAACAAATTTTCGAGCTAAATGGCACCAAAGAAAGCTAAAGGAGGAGGAAAGAAGGGAGGATCTGGAGGAGTAAGCGTTTGGCATTGATCAGCGCGAGGAAAGACTAACCAATGGCACACTAATGTTAGGATGAAGGTGGATCGCACCTGCTACTGAATCAGCGTCCGATAGAGGCAGCACCTCCGAAGATAGACCTAGGCAAGGAGACGCAAAAGTTAGACTCACGGGTAGCAAAATGCAGAGCTGGCGTTGCATGGGTCAATCTGCTGCAGATCGGAGACACCCTAAAGTTCGGCGTGTACAACGATCGCCCTGAAAACGACGCGGAAACGAGCAAACTGGTGGCGGCGTTCAAGACCCGCATCGTGCCTATGAAAGAAACATCAGCAATCCCAATCATTGTCGATCTTAAGCGGGTTGGGAACAAGGACTCACTGTTGCAAACGTTTGATGAGCCGGAGAAGGTATGCGAGCTGACAGTGAAGGATACGAACCCTATTGTAGTCGCGTCTGGTCAGCATCGTCTCTCGGCGTTGAGACGATACGCACAATCTGTACAAGATGAGTACGATTCGCTGGAGAAAAGGAGGATGAAGATAATCGGCATGCCAAAGCCCTCTGCGGATCATGTGCAGCAGCACAATCAGTACCGAGCAATTCAGGAAGAATTACGATGGACTCTCGACAACATTGGTCAGTGGGGAGTGATCGTCTACGATCAAGGTAAGCACTTATCTGTTGTTATCACGGGTGTCCATCTATGTGCATGTGTACACACGTGTCACATGTCAGCGTATCGTATAGTGCGTATGCGAAGCACTTACGATGAAGGATGTCCGCGCAGGCCACTGTTCCAAGCGCGGACAACGAGACACTAAATGTCTCCTTCAACACACGATAACTCGTGTGCTGAAAACCAGCTTACGCGTCAAAGTGACACAAGCGTGTAGTGTAAATGACAAACCTTGACGTGGTCCGCGCATGGAACAGTGGCCTACGCGGACCACGCGCCAACGAACCCTTTCATACGCGGTTGGAACTGTTCCAACTGCGGCGAGATCAGCACGCTGTGGATAAAGACTGACGAACTTACTTACAGAGAAGTTGCTTGCGGACGGGGACGAGTTAGCAATCCATTTAAGTCGCAACAATACGTTACATGAATATGGGGAGACGCACGAGGAGACGCTCGTCCGAGCGTTGAAAAGAGCGAAGGTCGTGTACGATACCTCGCCTGAAGACACACGAGATGGTCTGGCGACAAATATGCTAGCCGATATTCGCACTTCAGCAGATAAAAACTCACGTTTGCAGAAAGTCCTGCACCATGACAGGCTATGCCTGTTTCTCGCGACGCGACTTCTCGCCTTAGGACCACACGTGAGACATCGACCGGAATTCTCGGTGACATGGCTGTCGAAAGCAATCGATGTGTGCATGGGAGTAAGTCTATTGTTGAAGATTGAGAACGTTGAGATAACTTACGTTCTGATACAGGTCTATATATCTTGGTTGGAAATACGCATCAGCACGTTGAGGAAGTTAGGATCGATAGACGAGTTTGCGAGTTATGATACTGTGGTGCAGCTCCAGGAGCGAGCCGAGGAAGGGGACGAGGAGGCGAAGAAACAACTGAAGACGTTACGGGAAACGATGAAGAAGTCGAGCAGTTCGTTCGACATGTCCATGTGGACACAAGTCCTAGCAGCCATGGACAAGCACGCGAAGGATGCGTTCGGTGAGCTGACGGACATTATTGGGGACATGTCCCCCAAGTACATCATGCACCTTAGTTCCTATCGCTCGAAAGTCATCAAAACGTTGCGGGACAGGTGGAATCTTACCTCGCACGCGAATTTCCAGGACAATCCAATTTTAACTCACCTTGACCGCATCGTTGCACGCGTCGCGCTTCACCTCACGCCTCAGGAAGGCAAGAAAAACGCCCCGGAACCTCTGCTCGGTGGCTTCATGATGTCGTACGCTTGGGCGTCGTTCACGAAGATTGAGAAAGGAATTGCAGAGGTAAGTCATCATTTGTCTGAGGAAGTGCAATGCGACCGGCTCACGTATGAATGCATCGACAGGTCTGTCGATGGTTCGAGACCCTGCTCGACTATTACCGGATGCTGCACCCGAAAACCCACACGATGGACGATTGGTCCAGCGTGATGATGGCTAACATCGGGAAAGACCCGCGTTTCGTCGACCACGGGCACAATAACCCAAGGGAGGTCTGTACCTACGTCGTAAGGAGATCAAAACAGGACGCTGACTTCGCTGATACAGGTCACGAAGATCATCTGGACTCACCGACGTACGTTAATGATGCGTTTGACTAACTGCATGGTTTATGACAAGCATTCGCTTGTGAAACGACCTACCGAAAAGAAAGCCCTCGACGCGGAATACCTGAAGCTACCAGAGGCCGAGATACTCGCAAGTGAGGCGCTCTCGAAGTTTCTCACTTCGAAGAGGTCGAAGAATGGCCCGAAGAGCCGGAACTTAGCGATGGAATCGCAAGCGATTGCAGGAATGATGGCCCTGCACACCACGAGCTGGGATTGGCTTAGTCCGTCCCTCAAGAACGGGACCCGAGACATCGAGCCGGTCATGAAGGCCATCGCAGTTGAAAGGATGTACCTCACCAAGTACCGTCCCAAGCTCCTCAACGACAAGTACGTCGGGGCACTTCGTAGGCTCATCGAGCAGGCACTAGCGCCTCGCCTCGAAAAGGTACAAATCCTAGGTGGGGCAGGTCAGCTCAAAACCGTTCAGGAATGGGTCTGGTGGGACGGACTCAAACTCGGCGAGTCCCAAATGGACCCCAAGGATGTCCTGAAGACGATCGAAGACACCACCATCGTTGAACAGCAAAAGACGCGTGACCGTCTTCTGCTCGAGGAGAGGGACCGGGAGGCTCTCAATAAACTCGTCACATACGTCATGGGCATGCCATGTGTCCGATCGACATCCAGTGCAACCTCCCTGCTATCCGCAGACGTTGCACATCCGTTCATCGACATGATTAAAGTAAGTCCCCACCCGCCGTGGCCACTGGTCTATGCGCGGCGTATGTGTACCTATGCACCCTTTTGTACCATGCAACCTCTGCATAGAGGTTGCATGGTATAGAAGGGTGCATAGGTACATACGTCCGCGGATGCCACTGTGGCATCTGCGTCGAATCAGTGAGCTGATAGTATCTTCAACAGGGGATAGAACTCAATGGTGCTAGACTTCGTGATCGTCTGTTAAACGACGATCCCACGAAACTGTTTGTCATCGACGGCCATTCTGTCGAACTTGGTATCTCTGTACCGGAGGCATACGAAGATCTGTTCACGCAGGTAAGTGATGTCGTACTGTACATATATCGCAAGACATGCGTTCTATGTATAATGTGCATATTTCTACCTACTCACTTACATTATGGTCTTACAGGGCAATAATAGGACATCGGCCGAACACGGTGCCGACGAAAACTTGGAGGAGGAGCCTGCTCCGAAAAAGAAGAAGAAGAAAGGGAAGAGCCGGGCAGTTCACATCGACACTCCACCCGTCCCGGAGCAAGACACAGAACCGGATGATGCGCCCGCACGCTCTGCGTCTGCTCCTCCTCACAATGTCGACGATAACGATGCTCGTGGGCACAGTCCCATGACTGGATCGCAGCAGTCTGACCTTCCTGCAACGTCCAAACCATCGAAGACTTCGTCCGGTAAGCCAAAGCCTCGTCCCGTCCCTCGCAAACAACGACAAGCATCCCCTCCTCCCTTGGATGACGACATCGAAATTCTCGACGACTCTCTCAACTCTGGAGGTCACGATGTTCGCACTAACGATGACGGTACGTACATGCATTGACATGTCTTCACCCTGTCTGCACTAATCATTCGTCGTGTTATTCAATCACAGATGTTGTCACTCCACGTCCTCCCGTTCGCCCTCTCACCGAAGACAGTGTCTCTTCGGACGGACCGTCTGGTACCGTTGAGACCGACCAAGGCCCCGCCCAGGCCACTGTTCCATCCGCGGCTGTTTCAACAGGTATGTCGCACGTTATATATATATATATATTAGCATGTTATGTACATAGTCCGATTATAATATAGGTACTCCAGGTATTTCCGCCCAAGGAACTGTTGCATCTGCGGGCGACACGTTAGGTATGTGTCCATTATTTGCTTGTATCAATACACTATCTAATATCGTATCTATCATGTAGTACGTCCTCTGTCTTCCGCCGTCGCCACGGTTGCATCTGTGGCTCATGACAACGATGCTGGTGAGTTGAAGGTCAATTTATCTCATACTCATTCATCTCTCTAACTTGCTTTATAGGTGGTATCTTCACTGGGACCATCCCGCCCCTTACTCCATCCCCTGACGGACTCCCTCATGGATTCGGGACTGGCGACACCAGTTGGTTTGATCCCAACGATGAGGATGAAGACCAAGATATGCAGGATCGTCGCAGCTCCAGCGAGGAGGACGTGGAGGACGAAGATACCCGCAGCACAAGTCGTGCATCTGACGTTGACGACCCTCACGACAAAAGTAAGTCCGCCGTTGCCTCTGTTCCATGCGCGGCGACTTAATGTTTCTTACCTTCATATTGCAGCATACGTGCCAACCCAGCCGTTGACGCAAAACTGTTTGCCCCCTCGCAACAAAGGTGCGTATCACTTATCACATGTGTTTTTTAAAATATCTTAACCTAACCCCCTTAGAACCTCGCGTCGTCGCAACTGGTCCTACCAAACGTGCGCGTGCTGAAACAGGTCCGTTCGCGTCTTGATTTTATTTTTGATGTTATAAGATTATTATTAAATTCATTTCTTTTCAATCACTTAGGCGCTTCATCGTCATCTTCGACCCATGGCCGTGGCAGACAGACGAAGAAGAAACCCAAGGTCAACGTCCAAAGCTCCGATGAAGAGGACGACGAAACAATTGTCCCGGGCGTTTGAACATTTCGTTTTAACATTTCGTTTTTACATGCTGTTTTTTCAATATCGCACATTGTACTCCATGTTTCTTCTTTACCTGCTTGTCTTGTCGCTGTTGTCTTGATCTTTTTGCGTTGTTTCTTGTACGTTCGGGTGTCTCGCTGTTTGCTTGTCGATGTCATGTTTTCAGATACATAATATGTCAAATACGTCGAATACTGTCTTCTTTTTGTATGTTTTCCGTTTTCGATATGCTGCCTTTTTACGCTCTTGTCATTGCTATGTTCGATGTGTCTCTTTCACCTTACGTTTTCAAGTCGTTAAATACATTCGATCAATCGATGTACTTTCTGTGATATCACGGTGTGTTCGCGTGAATCTCTCTGTCGTTTGCATTCAATCACGCCCTAATAAATGAGTTCAATATTTTCTATGCTATTGCAAGCCGTGAATGCATGAATCCGTTGGTCTATCTCCATCTCCTGAATGAGTCTGTTGAATGTTGATCTCCTGCAGTTTTCAATGACGCTTTTGGCATTTGCTGTTCGGCTGTCTGCTGTTGCATATTTCTAGCTCTTTTCATGCACTTGCTGTGTGATCATTCAACGAACGTTGTGTCCTGCTGATTTCGTTTCATTTGTGTCGTCTTTCCTTCTTGTAAGCTCTTCCCTTCCTGTGCTATGATATACTGATGCAATCCTTGTTTGTCATTTGCCCCGCAAACTACCTGTCATACATCCTAATTCGCTTTACGACCGTTCAATGACGCTCATGTCATTTATTCTCTCTCTTGCTATCTTCTTAATGTCCCATGTCCATCCTCTGCTCAGTCATTCATGTGAGTCGCTGTCTCCTTCCCTGGCCTTTCACTTTTGCAGGTACTTTCTCTTGCATATGCCATCATATGCGTCTCTTTCGCTCCCCGATCGTATGATATCCATAATGCGACTCCCTGTGAATATCTTTGTCTCGTAATATCCCTGCTCAATCCTTTCTCGTCTCGCTAACCATTTTAAAATTGAGTTCAGAGCTAAAACGTCGCCTCGCGCTAAACTCGGACCTTGCTCTATGGATCGTCGATCCATTTAGCAAAGTGTTCCGCCGGTTTCGTCCAATAACTTTGTTTGTCGACCCTGTCTCGCTTCCCTCTGCCCTCTGTCATCTCCCAAGTCCTGTCCTGCCCATGACATGTTCCTTTGGGGTCGTGGAACGCTCTCTTTTGCCCATTGTTCTGACACAAAGTTTGGATAGCAAGCACCTTCGTTCATTCGTTCGTCCCGTCCTTTTCGGTTTACTTTCATTTCCTGGCCTTTTCCTTTTAATGATCTCTTCAGGTACCTCGATCGTCTCCTTGCTGACCCAAATTTTAAACTAGCACCCATACATGCTGCCGGCACCGCTGCAATATCATATGCCTCAATGTTCGTTTAGATCTGTCCCGTTCGGATCCTGTACTATCTATCTGTTTCCCGGTTTACACCCCTGTAGCCGTCCCTGTCCCTGCTACTAACCATATATGGGGAGTCCCTGCTCGAAAAAGGAAATCCCTGCCCCTATTCCGGTTTACAGGGAGTCCCTGCTGAGTGCGAAAATGTATGACGTAAAAGAGTCCCTGCTGCGCTTGTTTTGCCCATATCTCCGTCAGATCACGACATAAAGACATTCCGCGACCACAGCCACGTTCGCACAAATTCGTGCTACGACTTACATCACGACGTCCTTATAAGGAAAGTTCCCACCCCTATCCATCCTGCCAGATCAGCGCAATCAAACAAGTAAATATACCCGACACCATAGCAATAAAATCGCAAAAATCAAGCAAAATAAAGACAAGTCAATACGAGATCCTGACCTTGGCCTGCGTGACCGAAATCAAGCAACAACGCAGCAATTAAATAAGAAAAATGATACAATAGCAAAAATCAAGCAAAAATCAAGCAAAATGAAGTCAAATACAAACAACATTCTGACCTATACACCCTATGGCTGTATATTATATATATCATCACACTTTTTCCCATTGTTTTTGGTGTCTTATCTAATGGAATGGATCACTGGGATTCTATTGCACTATGTTTTAAAGAATTTGGTGGTCAGAAACATAAGTTATGCTCATTTTACTGAGTATCATCTCATGTTACTGTATTACCATATTAAGATGGTGTAACTCAATTGAAACACCTAGCATTTTTTACAAACAACTGTATGTACCCTGTAGTGTTATAAACACATGATTTCCAGCCAATATTACAAAATATTAATATGCTGTGTACTAGGGGAGGAGGAGAAGATGGGCTACAACCTTAGAAAAAATTGCTAGTGCTCCAAATCTTGGTCCATTGAATTCTATGACCTTAGAAATGGTAGGAAGAAGCTTTGCTTGATGGTTGATGATGTTAGAGACCAATGGTAATAGAAAATTGACATCTACCATACTTACCAAGTCTGATACCTCATAAAAAATTCCTAGTATTTTACACCTTGATGCATCATCTTCTGTGACCTTGAAAATGTTGTAAAGCAGTTGATTTAGATGATTGGTGATGTTGGTGATCACTGGTTTTAGTTGACCCCTTACTAGCATATCCACCATGTTTGGTACCTCATAAAAAATTGCTGGTAGTTTGTAACTAAGTGCATCATCTTCTGTGACCTTAAGAATGGTAGGAAGCATGTTGTGCAAATGATTGGTAATGTTGGTGATCACTAGGTGTGGTTGACCCCTTACTAGCATATCCACCATGTCTAGTACCTGATAAAAAATGACTGGCAGTTCATAACTTGGTGCATCATCTTCTGTGACCTTGAAAATAGTGGGAAGCATGTTGCTCAGATGATCAGTGATGGAGGTGATCACTATTTGCAGTTGACCCCTTCCTAGCATACTCACCATATCTGATACCTCATAAAAAATTCCTAGAAGTTTATAACTTGGTGAATCATCTTCTGTAGCCTCAAGAATAGTGGGAAGCACTTGATTTGAAAGATTGGTGATGCAGGTGATTGCTATTTGCAGTTGACTCCTCACTAGCATACTCACCATATCTAGTACCTCATAAAAAATTCCTGGCAGTTTATAACTTGGTGAATTATCTTCTGTAGCCTTAAGAATAGTGGGAAGCACTTGATTTAAAAGATTGGTGATGTTGATGATCACAGGTTATAGTTGACCCCTTACTAGCATATCTATCATATTTGGTAGCTCATAAAAAATTACTAGCAGTTCATAACTTGGTGCATCATCTTCTGTGACATTAAAAATAGTGGAAAGCAGTTGATTGAGATGATTGGTGATGTTGGTGATCACTAGGTGTGGTTGACCCCTTACTAGCATATCCACCATGTCTAGTACCTGATAAAAAATTGCTGGTAGTTTGTAACTAAGTGCATCATCTTCTGTGACCTTAAAAATAGTGGGAAGCATGTTGCTCAGATGATCAGTGATGCAGGTGATTGCTATTTGCAGTTGACCCCTCACTAGCATACTCACCATATCTAGTACCTCATAAAAAATTACTGGCAGTTTATAACTTGGTGAATCATCTTCTGTAGCCTTAAGAATAGTGGGAAGCAGTTGATTTGGAAGATTGGTAATATTGGTGATTACTGGTTGTAGTTGACTCTACACTAGCATACTCACTATATCTAGTACCTCATAAAAAATTCCTGGAAGTTTACAACTTGGTGAATCATCTTCTATAGCCTTAAGAATGGTGGGAAGAAGTTGATTTGGAAGATTGGTGATGTTGGTGATTACTGGTTGTAGTTGATCCCTTACTAGCATATCCATCATATTTGGTATCTCATAAAAAATTCCTAGAAGTTGATAACTTGGTGAATCATCTTCTGTAGCATTAAGAATGGTGGGAAGAAGTTGATTTGGAAGATTGGTGGTGTTGGTGATTACTGGTTGTAGTTGATCCTGCACCAGCATACTCACTATATCTAGTACCTCATAAAAAATTCCTAGTAGTTTACACCTTGATGCATCATCTTCTGTGACCTTGAAAATGTTGTAAAGCAGTTGATTTAGATGATTGGTGATGTTGGTGATCACTGGTTTTAGTTGACCCCTTACTAGCATATCCACCATGTCTGGTACCTCATAAAAAAATTGCTGGTAGTTTATAACTAAGTGCATCATCTTCTGTGACCTTAAGAATGGTAGGAAGCATGTTATGCAAATGATTGGTAATGTTGGTGATCACTAGGTGTGGTTGACCCCTTACTAGCATATCCACCATGTCTAGTACCTGATAAAAAATGACTGGCAGTTCATAACTTGGTATATCATCTTCTATGACTTGGAAAATAGTGAGAAGCAGTTGATTCAGATGATTGGTAATGTTGGTGATCACTATTTGCAGTTGACCCCTCACTAGCATACTCACTATATCTAGTGTCCTATAAAAAATTCTTAGAAGTTTAAAACTTAGTGTATCATCTTCTGTGACCTTGAAAATAATGGGAAATGATTGATTTGGAAGATTGGTGATATTAGTGATCACTAGTTGTAGATGGGTACATGATCCTTATGAAGCACAAAGGTCAGGAATTCCTGCTAACACTGAAACTCCTGCTCCTATATATTCTATGATTTAACATAGATGCACTGAGATTTGAAAGAATCAAATTGATCATATATAATAATCAGATTCTAAGCCTTCAAAACTGAAGAGATGACTGTTGAAATGGCTTCTGATGAAGTTCCATATGCCAAAGGCACTGTCACTACAAGTACTATAATAAGGATAGAATTTGAAAAATTTGGTCTAGTACAAACAATCAGAATCCTAACTACAGATATGATTCATTTCTGGGAATTTGCTGTAGTGATGAGTTTAATTTGAACTTGACCAAAACTCAGTATGATGTTGAGATGATCAAATGTATTGCAAGGCAAACCCTATAACTAGAACTAAAACTCAAAACAGCTACAATCATTATCATCCTCTATATTGGTAGTTGATGCAGCCTTTTAACATGAAAGAGAATAATTTGCAATGTACTGATTTCTGTTAACAATTGGAGATTGCAACAGGCAACATCAATCCTCAAAGTATTGAGTTTACAATCATTAACATAAAACACATCAACATAATACTATCAACTGGTGGAAAATTACAAAATGCTACAGTCAAACAAATTTGCTCTAAGCTACATAGCTAAAAATCAGGAAAATACCAAGGTGTCAGAGTCAGCAATAATTTGTGGTTATTACCATCATCATCTTCACCATCACCTTCCTCTTCCTTTCCTTCCTCATTAAGCACCAGGCTCTTGGGTATTAGCATAGTATTGCTGGCAGGATTATGAATGGCATCTTGATGGGCAGCAAGAATAATGCTTCCAAAAAACTCTTGCAAGTCTAGGGCCAAAGATACTTGGAAGAGATCTTGAATTCCAGTTCTCTCCAAAGCAGATGTATCCAGATTTAGCAGGATAGAGGTAGGAATTCCTTCCTGAGCTCTGGAATGTGCAGCTTGGGTGATTTGTTTGGTGATACCAGAAAGGTTGGAGTGAGGAATAGGATGAACACCCACAGCCAACACTACATCCACAAGATTCTCATCATGAGCTAGAACTGAATTTAAATTTGGCTGCTCCTCTTTACAAACCACAATATTTGGACGTCTGATGCCATGATGTCCAAAACTATGGGTGAATGTTGGACAGTCAGTGCATATAGGAAGTCCATCTGAGAGAGACTGATCCAAAAATATGGCTGATGGTGCCACATTGTCACAAGAAGTGCAAGACATCTGGTCCAGACGTCCTAGCAATGGAATGCATCTTGGACAATCAGGTGTCCCTATCTGAAATGACTTGGGAACTCCAAAGGATAGCAGTCCAGTGTTTTTTTCCATGGCATCAATATTTTGAGTGTAGACTCTCAAAAGATTGCCACGGCGGTCTAGAGAGTGAATAGCTTGATAAAGTAGGTTTTTGATGGGTGTTCTCTTTAGATGGTGCATCATGGTCTGGAACACTAATGATGACTTGGTGGGTTCCTGCAAAAAAGTAATATATAAGATGTTCCCAAAGACATCTAGAACCTTTATGTTATGCACCTGCCATATTATGGGAAGCAGTGATTCAAAAGGATGAATTGGAAATTCAGATGCAGCAGGAACAGATACTTCTGGACCTATAGAGAGTGTGCAATGAAACAGAGTTTCTTAAGCATAAAACTTTTAAGAGATGAACTTGATCATACCACAGATGACAATCAGATTTTTAGCATGTAAGATGATATCCAACACCTTCTGAACCTCTTCACCTCCAGAAATCTTTGAGACAAAATTGTTTTGGGCAATATTGATAAAAGATGAAGAAGAGGATTCAGCATGATCAACTGATGCAGGTGGAACACGGTCTTTTCTAGAACGGCGCTGCTGTATGACTGGGCTAAAGCTCCTGGATCAGCATATTTATCTAGATTTACTACAGTTGACTTGCTAGAATTACCTGACTTTCATGATGGTCTTCAATGCAAATGCTTTTGTGAATTCCAAGTTGGATCTGTGTACATGTGAGAAATTCAGATTTGAGAGTCCATCCATGGCCATCATGACAAATAGACCACAAGACCAGCTATCTTTTTGTTTTTGATCATCTGGTGGAGTGTGATGAACAATCTTCCAGTCTTTGAATCTGTGTTCAAATGATTTGATCTCTGGATATGTTTCATATTTTAGCCAATGCTCTAGGCCAGCAGCAGCATGCTGCAAATTCTGATAGTAAAATTATGATATCAGATGCCTAGATATTATAGTGGATTAAAAATTCTACTAACTTTTTGAGCCCAAGTAGGATGGATTCCCAAGCTATCAAAGAAACCTATTTCATGGGCTGACCAGTCTACCCAGCCCAGAACCCAGTGAGAGGGACTGCCTCCACATAGAGGAAAAGCCCAACATCTGGAGTCAAGCATTTTTTTTTTGGTTATCTAAGTCCAAGAAGTTGGAACAAGATCCAATTTAATATAAATATCTGCTTGAAAAAACATACTGACCACAGAGACAATGTTTTCTAGAGTTGTTCCACATGAAGTCTTTCCATGTATCAAGCGGGGGACCAGTGAACTGATCAAGATATATCCAGCTGTGGTCAAAATGCTGTGCTGTTCAATAGATACCAGATTGGCATATGCATTCATGACTGTTCCATTGATCCTCTGGTGTTTATTTTGCAGGCAACCAAGGTCTTCATCTATGAGCTCAATGCCTCCTATGTAGCGTGATGATAAACGGAGTAGTCTGTTTGATACTGTACTGGATGCTTGTGGGAAGGGAAGTATCACATCTTCTGTTTTTGTTTCTTGCTTGATCCTATCCTGGTTCAGAGAAGATGAAAAAGCTGGTGGATCAATATCTGGCATGATTGAGGAAGCCTTGAGAATGACAAAATGGACTGAGATAAATGATGTGTGGCTACATGCAACTCATGGTTTAATAACATATAATATATCTGCTGACTAAGAAACCAAGTTTGAACATCTGCAAATCTGGACATGAGATCTGAGGCTCTGAACATAACATAGTAGTGTTTTATCATATAAATGGAAGAAGCTCTAGTGGATGGTTGGTTATGGTATGAATCTCTGGTTCCAAGTTAGTGTTTGACTATTATACATACTTAGCCTATCATATTGTAAAAAATGGCTGATGCTTCAAAACTTGGTCAATGATCTTTAGAATAGCAATGATAACTCTATTTGAATGTCTGCTAATGTGTGAAATCTCTGATCTCAGGGTGGCCATTGCCTACCACATGGACTTGGTCCATCACTTGGTGAAATATTCCTCATATTTCAAAACTAGTTCCATGATGTTCTGTGACATTTAAACTGATGGAAAGAATTTTGGTTTGATCTTTGGTAATATCTGACATCTTGTGAAAAATGTCTGATGCTTCAAAACTGGGTTTACTAATTTTTTTAACCTTGAGCATAGTTAGAAGCAGCTTATTTGGATGTTTGATGATTTCTGGCATGACTGATTTCAAGTCAATCTCATATCAACACATATCTCTAGTCTATCACTTCATAAAAAATTACTAAAGCTTCAAAACTTGGCTAATCATCTTCTGCAGCCTTGAAAATGATAGGGTGATGTTTAGTTCAATGATCTTTGAGTTGAAGTCAACCACTGACTATCATATAAATCTAGTTTATCAGTTAATGAAAAATTCCTGAATCTTTAAAACTTGGATAATTATCTTTTGCAACCTATAAAATAGTAGGGCAGAGTTTAGTTGTGTATTTAAAAGTGTCCAGGACCTTTGGATTCACATCATCCTCTGACTACCACATTTATATAGTCAAACTCTTTGTGAAAAAATCCTAGATCTTTGAAACTGATCCTGTTATCTTATATGATCTTTAAAATCATGAAAAGAAATCTAGTTGGATGTTTAATGATATCTAGAATTTGTTTCAAATTTTTTTGAACTTATTGACTGACTTCAAGTATAGCTGATAGATGTACTTGGTGTATTCATAGAGTGAAAATATTTGAATAACCTCAGTACACTGGCATGATAAAATATCTCATCTTGTTGTATGTACTGACAGTTATTTGAATGTAAGTAGTTAGAGTATTAGTGCTAGATAATTTAAAATATGATGTAATCACACAGCTTATAGACATCCTTCAATCCTTCTTTCTATATAAGTCCTTGTCTATTTTGAATAATCATCATCTCAAGACAAACTTGAAGATGCATTCCATCTTTAAGATGCAAGATATTCTTTTTCTTATATTTCAGATGCTCTATACCCTTATCACCAAAGAAGATTCTGGCAGGCTTGGTGCTTTTGCTGTACTGGCCACAACATCTTCAACCATCTCTGAGCCTGTCCTACAGCTTCTATGGAAGAAACTACCTTCTGTGGAACCTCTCATTGATCTCCTTCCAAATGATCTCATTCAACGCCGTAGGAATTCAAATGGAGGATGGAAGTTGGTAAGTCACCTAACCATATGAGGAAGGCGCAACTATTAGAAGCGCCGCACCAGCAACTTTTTTTTTTCAAGTCATTTCTTCCACAACTTGTATCTATCTAACTAACCCATCTTGTAGCCCTCGAAATTCTGCATCACCCGCACCAAAATTCGGTTTAAAATAATTGTGTTAGTGTTGACTTTTGCCCTCAACAAAAACTCGTGGTTCCCATGTGCTTTACACTTTTCGTGTGCCTCCTCTACTCTTACCACGACCTCTGGCTACCCCGGTACCTTGCAGGGTGCTTACCCTGCACCCTGTGATGATCCTACACCAAAAATCTCGCTGCCCGGCCCTTCCGTTCTCGATTTATGGCCCCAACATCGATCTGGGCGCCCTTTTAGTGAGGGGGAGGGTAGGTGAGGGTGTAACTTTTTTTCATTCAACTCTCTTGACTAACCCTTCTGGTGTCCTACTCTACAGCATTCTACCATCCTCCCGCACCAAAAATTTCGCTGCCCGGCCCTTTCGTTCTCGACTTATGGCCCGAACATCGATCTGGGTGCCCTTTTAGTGAGAGGGAGGGTAGATGAGGGTGTAACTTTTTTTCGTCCAACTCTCTTGACTAACCCTTCTGGTATCCTACTCTACAGCATTCTACCATCCTCCCGCACCAAAAATCTCGCTGCCCGGCCCTTTCGTTCTCGACTTATGGCCCGAACATCGATCTGGACACCCTTGAGTGACGAGGAGGGAAAGGTGAGGGTGTAACTTTTTTTCGTTCAACTCTCTTGACTAACCCTTCTGGTATCCTACTCTATAGCATTCTACCATCCTCCCGCACCAAACATCTCGTTGCCCGGCCCTCCCGTTCTCGACTTATGGCCCGAACATCGATCTGGACACCCTTGAGTGACGAGGAGGGAAAGGTGAGGGTGTAACTTTTTTTCATTCAACTCTCTTGACTAACCCTTCTGGTGTCCTACTCTACAGCATTCTACCATCCTCCCGCACCAAAAATCTCGCTGCCCGACCCTTTCGTTCTCGACTTATGGCCCGAACATCGATCTGGGCGCCCTTTTAGTGAGAGGGAGGGTAGATGAGGGTGTAACTTTTTTTCGTTCAAACCTCTTGACTAACCCTTCTGGTATCCTACTCTATAGCATTTTGCCATCCTCCCGCACCAAAAATCTCGCTGCCCGGACCTCCCGTTCTCGACTTATGGCCCGAACATCAGGGTTAGTTGGGCATAGGGACGAGGAGGAAAGGGTAAGTCTGTAACCTTATTTTTAGGCAACTAACTGCACTAACGCTTCTTGCGTCCTGCTCTATAGGGTTCTACAATCCTCCCGCACCAAAAATCTCGCCGCCCGCACCTCTCGTTCTCGACTTATGGCCCGAACATCGATCTGAGTCCCTTAGTTTAGTTAGGTTAGTGATTAGGTTTAGGGACAGATATGCATATAACTTACTTCTAATGTTAGGGTTGTACTAGCCCAGGCTCTATCACTCTACTCTGCAACGTTCTGCAATCCTCCTGCACCAAAAATATCGCCGCCCGGCCCTCCCGTTCTCGATTTATGGCCCGAACATCGATCTGGGCGCCCTTGAGTGACGAGGAGGGAAAGGTGAGGGTGTAACTTTTTTTCGTTCAACCCTCTTGACTAACCTTTCTGTAATCGCGCCGCCCGCACCTCCCATTCTCGACTTATGACCCGAACATTGTTCTGAGGGGGCTTAAGCGTTATGGAGTGAAACATTGGTCTGTAACTTTTCATCTGCCAACTTTCTGAACTAACGCTTCTATAAACCTACTCTACAGAGTTAGTCGAACCTCTCGCAGCCAAAATCTCGCCACCCGCACCTCCTGGTGTTGACTTATGGCCTAAGTGGGTTTTAGGGAGGAGGGAAAGGTAAGCCTACAACTCTTTTTCAACGAACTTTCTGAACGAACCATTTTATAACCCTACTCGACAGGGTACTACAAACCTCCCGCACCTAAGACCTCGCTGCCCGGACATCCTGTTCCCGACTTATGGCATGATCATCGATGTGGGTGGGCTTGCGCTACGGCGAGGGTAAGGTAAGCCTCTACCCTTTTCTACAGCCTTTGTGAAAACTAACACTTCAATTGTCGTACTCTATAGTGTTTTATGCCCCTCCCGGAACAAAGTCCTCGCCGCCCCTACATCTCACTCGAAAGCTATCACTCGAACTTCACATGCTGCGGAAACGAGAGGTGCAATAACACGACATCACCAGTATGTTATCGGAGGTGGAAAATCATGCAAATCCCGAGGTGACAGAGTACTGGGAAGTATCCATTTCTGGTTCTAATCCGACGTAGGAACGCTGGCTCCTGCAGCAGAGTCTGATTCCGATAACTGAATTTTATCCGGTTTGTAGTGCGTCCGCATGTCTGATTTCTGTCTGAATACTGTCGTAATCGTGTCGTATTAGCATCTGAATATCAAGCTATCGTATGACTATAAGGTCTCCTATGCATCTGCGCCGCTTTCGGACGCTTTCAGTCGTTACTCCTGCCTCTCTTCACCGCGATGTACGGCTCCCATTTCAACTTTCTAGAACACAGGAAGTGCGTGCCACATAACACATGCGTGATATGCACACACGATCCATCTGACGGGAGAATGAGAAATGGTTAAGTTAGCTGTTCACCTGGGAAGATAACATCACATACGGTGCGATGGCGAAACGTGACTTGGTTGAGTTGGGCCGTCGCAGAGAAAATCATTCTGACGTTGTCAAGGTCCAAAGAAACAGTCAACGTTTCAACAGACGACATCACACATCGTATAAACACGGGTCGTCACCAAAGCACCATCAGCATTGAAATCATGCTCTCTATGGTTGTTCGACAGCGAGACGCTGTCACGAGCCGTCAGCATTAGGCAAGCGAACCAAAAGACAAGAAAACAAGATCGTGCGCCGACTGAGAGCGCGACACATCCAGAGCATCATTCAGCATCGAGCCAAAAGAATAGAACACGGCGCTCTCTGAAATCAGGACAAGGCTATGGCATCATCAGCGTCAGGTACGCACACCATAAAACCAGAACACATACCCTGATGACCAGACGCAACAAGTGCGCCATCAGGGTTGGGTATTAAGCGGACCCAGTGAACGAGAACACCCACTGACTGGGAGTGCAACGTGACAAGCGCATCATCAGGGTCGAGTAAGTGAGCCAACAGACGAGAAACGCACGACCTGAGAGCGGCGCACGGTCAGAACATCATCAGCGTCGGATAAGCAAGCCAACAGGCAATACCACCTTGCTACGGGACCTGGTTTCATCGCTCCGAAGGTCGAATGTGAAGGCAACTTTAGGTTGATGGCGTTGCTGCTCTTATCTAGCGTGTGTTTGAGTGGAAGTTGGACTTAGCGGAATATTTAAGACACCTCACCTTCAAATAAGCAGAGTGTATTCACAGTCGAGGACACCATATACACAGACCCAAGCGGGCGGTGCCGCTAGGAGGATGGGAAATCTGCTTGCGAGTTCGGTCAGTTAGTGGGCAGGAATAAATAAGAACGTGTTAGGGCTTGAATGCTGTGCTCGACGTCGTCGGTAGCACGTTTTCACATGATCTGAATTCTCCATCCTTAACAAATTTTGGCTGGACTTCACGAAATAGCCACCTACCGTTGGATTCTCGCACCATTAACCTAGTGCTATAGTAAGCACTGTCACGAAGTGGAAAGAAGAGCTGCAAAACGCAAATTGAGTTCTTTTCATAGGGATTACGGATTCAGTATCGCTCACCAAGCGTTGTGACCACTGTATGAATAAGCGTGACGCGACGCGCTACACAAAGTTTATGTAATTGAACGCGTTCTGACCGGCCTAACACTCAAAAGGTTCACAGGTTAAAGAACTGGCTTAGGTATTCAGTTATTTTAAATAATTGTATTGTATTAATCAAATCAAAAACTAAGATGAGCAACAAGCAACAACTATATATTTAATCGGTGCGAGGTGGTGGTCTGTGAAGGGAGGAAAAAAGCAAGATCTGGCTTCGACGAAATTCATATAGGGACGACCTATTATAATTAGAACTCCGCTGGAAAGTAGCGCAAACCACCGCAGAAGGACAATACCGGCGGACTTTGAAAAATATATGGCATTCCCTATATAAGACGCTCCCCCACCTTTCTGTTTTTCCCTTCCGATCTACTATCACACAGTCAAGGCCCAAGTACGCAGATTATTAGGATAGTGTAATACATACTTCCTAGTCTTTATCAATCATAACAATGAATTTTGAGGTCGTCTCAGTTGAGTCTATTATAAGCCCTACTCAATAACGATTTTATTTGACGATTTTATTTGATGACAGTTTAGGCAAAAGCTTCCGAAATAAAATGAACTTTGACGCGTTCGGCGTGTACATGGCGGAGAGATATGTGACAGTTGAACGGCACCGCTGATTACTCAGGCTGTACCCTCCCGCCAGAAGGTCCCATATCTGCCCTGTCGACTGATCGTACAAGGGGCAGCACATTTTCTGGAATGTTGTGATAACCGTATGCGCTTTCTTGCTGTTGGCATCAGTGTCTGCGACGTTGCGCACTCGTATTAGTGTCGATCTCACCCAATCGCCATTATGGCAGCTCTCATTAAACTCCATACTCGATGCAGTATTCGAGTGTGAAATAAAATGGCTACTGAATATCGTGCTTATTTTTTTGTTGACTCTCATTATGCTGATTAAATACATTGGTGAAATAAAAACATTATCAAGCAGTGCTACAGAAAACTTGCCAAAAAGACTTGACGTCTCGATAAGAATATTAAGTTCAGTTACAAATCACACGCGTTTAATTAATGTCTAATTACAAATTGTACAGGAACATATAGAATTAACTCGACGGTTATATATTGTTTGTATGACATAGTAGACGATCGGGGTAGCGATAACCCCCTGCTCGAAACCGTCAGGCACAGTTGTCGTTTTATTAAGCTGCCGTTCACGCTGTAGCCTAACGTTGAGTTTTGGGAGCTCAATATTCAATGGTCAAACAGTACGTTGTCTCAGAGTCAGGTATTATGATCAATTAAAGTTCTCCAGGTGTACAAAAACGAACTGTCCTCGTCCCAATTACCATACCGGAGACAAGGAAAAGACACACAATAATAAGTACCATACCGCTTTTATCAATGTGTCATGGCAAGGGCAGACGGGTTAGTGGAATACTCTTTGCGATTTGCTTGCATATACTGACCTCAAAACATACAGTGAAGATTTCGAGAAATCCGGATGGTCGATTCCATTGTCCATGCGGCCGATACGACCATGGTCGATACGACTACCATCGATTTATGAAGCTCTTGTCGAAATCTCCCCATCCTCAAGATTCTGCTTCAGATTGTATCGACCCCGATGACGGTAACTCATTTGCCTAACCATTGACCTCTCTGCTCAAAGATCACACCTAACAGACCCAAGCGGCGCACAAGAGCCTGCGCATGTCGCCGATGTTGATATGGACTCCACTCCAGACTATCACCACGATTCACCGGGCATGGCCCAATACTCCGACTCCCCCTTTCCAGACACAAATATCGCCGTTCTACCCTCACCTGCGTCTCAGCCCCCCGACAATTCAATACGTCTGGCTGTTGACGCCCGCTCTCAAGCAATCCAACAAACTACGTCATCTTCTCTGACTCGTTCATTCAAAGGCAACTACTTGACCACCGTTGCTCACAATGCAGCAATCACCGACACCCATTA